ACTCAAGATACGTCTTTGTAAGAAATCAAAAACAGAAATTGAATTTTTACCGATTTATGCAATAGTTTGTTAAAATTGCAATTTAAAAAAAAATGTAGTTAGATTTCATTTCATAAAATTTACAAGTTCTGTTGTCTATTTAATGAAGTACCCCATGAAAATAAAATCACAAATCAGTCAATAATGCGTGTGTCCGCCTTAGGCACTGATCCAGAGTGTGCAATGTCGTCTCATGGAATTGCTGAGAGTCTTGAAGAATGCCTGGGGCAAATGGTTCCGTTCATGGAGGAATCTTTACTGAGAACGTCATCCCTGTACACCACTCCTCTTACACATTGACGGAAGACGTGAAGAGGTGTTCGATGGTGGTAACTGAAGGCTCCCCATACCATCACGCTTCCACCCCATCTGTTAGTCTGCAGGAAACAACTTCGGCTTAACGTTCGTTACGTCGACGCCACACACGCAATCGGCCATCAGCATGTGAAAGATGGAACCGAGACTCGTCTGAGAAGAGAACTGTCACCAGACAACAAATCGCCTTCGTTCATCAAACCTTGTCCATTGAAGGAATTGCAGTCGATGGCGCTGAGTGAGAATAGGCCCTACGTAAGGACATCGGCAGTTACTGCCATGTTTACGTAGGCTACTCCGGACGGTTTCCGCGGACACTGGGCGTCTTCTAACTCTGATAGCAGCTGCTGTTCTGGTTGCAGGCTGGACCCGGTTACGAAGGTGAGTTACCCGGATGTTGCGAACTTGTGCCTGAGTCGTCACACTTGGTCTCCCCGTCCGGGGACGATCAGAGACAGAACCGATATGTTGAAAGCGTCCAGCAAGCCTTGTGCTTGTGTTAACATGAAATCCCAAGCGTCTGGCTACAAAAGTGGTGAAGGTACCCGCCTGCAAGCTTCCAAGAGCCATTCCTCACTACAATTGTGTTAATGGGCATCGTATTTCATGAACATTATTCGCTCTACCATCAGTGAATGAATATGTTTGGGTCGAACCACTTTATAAAGGACATGTCTCGGTGAAAACTCACTTGTATTGGCTACACCCGTGACTGCACGCGCAGAATTCACGATTTTAGGCATTGCGCATGTGTCGGTTGAACAGTGTAAGCAGTGAACAAAAGCACGTCATTTCATCATTTGCACCCTAGTCTTTATGTTATCGAGATTATCAGTAGTATACAAAAGGTCACAAAATAATTTCTCGTGAAAATGTAATTGCGTTTTTATGGGGTTCAGTATATATATATTTGTGAACTCATTTCAGAACCTCGATACAACGAACACTGAAGTATGTATTGTATGAATCAATATTACAGAATCTTCACTGATCTATTCCGGTTTATGAAAGACAGCAAATGTGCTTAACGAATTGTAGAATTTCGAAAATCGTTATTGCAGAGATGAAGTTTTGTCCGTCTGATTTGATGCAGAAGCCTGATTCACTTACATTGAATGACTTACATGTGCGGACACCTGGTTAACATACATATGTTGTAGACGACAGCTAATCCGAACACCGCATGCACACCAGTATTCCGCACACATTTTACTATGATCTATAATTTTGAACTCAATACATAACAGGTCAGAAATACATGGCTGAATCTCCACAGCCAAGGTCTTGGATACTGTAAAAAGTTTGATAATCTAAGCGAGGTAACTCTTTGTAAGACTTGCAGAGAACCGGATAAGTTAATTGTAATTAAATCAGTGAATGTTGATTATATGAACAGGATCCGTACTAATGATACGCTACAGCTTTGGATATAAATGTTTGTTCCTGGGTATTCTGATTTCTTGTACACGTTTCCTCTCCTACAGGCTATCATTGGATCAAAATGTACCTATTGGCCCCAAATAGAACTGGAAACGACTGACCCGAACTTTTCCTTGCCGATCCCTTCCTTTTTACGGTGGATGTCCTACATGGTGGAAATCTTTCTATAACCAAACACACGTTTCTATCCAAACTACCACACATTATAGCCTAAAATCGAATTAATTAAATCGGACATAATACATGTAGAAGATATTGAGGGGAGCTTTATCTTGAAGACCTACCCATTATTAACTCTCCTTAGAATATGGATTTTGATGGATGTGTCTTCTAATTTTGAATATCTGAATGGGTTCCAAAACACGAAATACTCCGACAATCGTTATTTACTTGAAACAAAATATCCAGGCTGACGTGGTTGCACTCCATTTTATCAAATACTAAAGATGGCCCGTTCTATGTAGAAGGTGGAGTGTGTTAATAAATTTGTCTGTGAATTCTTATTCAATACAGACTTTACATATTTTTCCATATCTTGTTCTACAAAAACCGAATGCTTTCAGAACTTGCCTAGAAATCACCATGCCATTCCCAAATTCAATAATACAATAATTATTGACTTTTTGTCTTTAATTAATCACAAAAAGGGTTTCATTTAATTAGACACAGAGATATTCTTATCAAAGCCGTAAATAAATGTGAAGCAAATGAGACAATCTAAAAACACGACTGAGAATTCTATAATAAATTAAATGGAAATGTGCAGTAAAGTTGATGGAAATGTGCAATTTTAGTACATATTGAAAAAAAATTATTTTCAAATTAGGAAATTGGTTCAGACTTAAGTTTAAAAAACTAATTCGGCTTCTGCTATTTCTGTGCTGTAATCGATTAACCCTTTAGTCTATAGCTAGGCAGCTCCTTCCATCAATACTGTATGAAAGTGTACATATTCGCTGTATTATATGTTTCCCTATATAAAAAGTCTTTCTGACAACTTGTATCTGTATTGCTTTCTCGCTAATAGAGCGATGCCGTTATCAAGGTTAAAAGATATGTAATTATCCGTCAGGAGTGCAACGGGGACAGACCAGTACGATCTTATACAAAAGATCGTTACATTTCAATTCCATTCTGTCGAGAAAGTATTTTGATATAGCAATAATTATTCAGAAGTAATCATGATATATTCAGAATTTATCACAATGATCGATTTTGTTCTATCCTTTCTTAAAATAATTGACAATTGGATATTGTTGAGCACCATTTACGGGAAGCAGACATATCACAGAAAGAGAGTACGGAGCCATGTTAATCACGTCAGTGCAGAAATGCCACCGGGACCATTGGCTACGTAGATTACTGCAATACAAACGTACAACCGGTAAATTGTGTATTCTCTCACTTGCTGGAAAGCAACCACACGCTCCATCAGAAATAAGTGTTTCAAAATGTTCCCTGTTCCTAAAAAAATAAAAACTTTCAAACAGTTTGTTTTAAAACCTATTTCTGTAACAGTAACGTTTTTCGAATAGCTGTATTTTTTTCCGATTTAAGGCGAATGTTAGCCGATATTGCGTGAGGTGGTTTCGTGACCTTAACAAACTGCTTGACACAAGTAATCATTTCTGTCTAAGTTCGAGAAAAATCGTTGTAAAATAACAATGGTATTACAGAAGTCTGTATATATACCTGGAACAATCAATCATGACACCATTATCTACAGACAGGAATCACTTCACACGTATATACTTCAATTCATCCAACAATATATTCAATCACCAATGTCTCATTGGTTGTGTTTCCAGTAGTTCTGGAAAGTTTCTAAGAGAACATGATACCATAAGTTCAATTGTTATTGAGAGTTTCCAAACAGGTTGAGGGAGGGTCACTGTGTTATAATCGTTAACTCCTTAACCTCTTAATTCCATGGTTTTACCTAATTAAGTTTACAGGTTACGCATGCATCATCTCTTTAATGACTGAATAGTGCTATTTACCAATTACACACTCTATTTTCAGTTTTTATCTTGCTATGGTTATCTTATGTTAAATTTCATTAGTTCGCCATCTTCAGCCTAAATATACTTTAATAATTAGTTTAGATTGTAAATATAGAAAAAACAATTAACAAGAAGATGAAACAGATAAGAGTTTACATTAAAGACGGTGGATGTGTATAAAACATATTGAAAACATTAACGGCATGGAATTTCACAGTATGTTTATTACTCTCTCACACACACATATAAATTAAAAACGTATCATTCAACATTGAATTTCATACATCTTTTGTATGTCTTTATCTCTTTGCAGTATTCTAAGTATATAATCAATCTATTCATAGTAGTTTGGCCTTGGCATGACTTTGGCATGTTCTTTTTGTCTGCAGAAAAACGTTAATAGTGTTGCTTGAAAAAAGGATGTCCTAATTTTTGGTCTCCAAAAAGCAAAGTACATTGCCTATAAAGATATTGTCAAAATTATTTCCATTCAGAGACAGATTTTCAGCAGTATTTTGTCCACAGGCATAAGCTCTCAGAAGCATTTTGTCTGGGAATCAGTTATTATCAGTATTGTCTCAAAAAGGAAACTCACAGCAGTGTGTATCTCAAGGAAGACATTATCTGCTATATTTTGTCTTCAGGAATAAATTTGCAGCAGTATTTTGTTCCCAGGAATAAATTCACAGCAATATTTTGTCCACAGGAATGAATTTACACCTGTATTTTGTCTCAAGGAATACATTCACAGCAGTATTTTGTCTCCAGGAATACATTTGCAGCAGTATTTTGTCTCCAGGAATAAATTCACAGCCATATTTTGTCTCCAGGAATAAATTTACACCTGTATTTTGCCCCTGGGAATAAATTTTCAGCAGTACTTTGTCCCCAGGAATAAATTAACAGCAGTATTTTGTCTCCACGAATAAATTCACAGCCGTATTTTGTCTCCAGGAATAAATTTACACCTGTATTTTGTCTCCAGGAATAAATTTACACCTGTATTTTGTCTCCAGGGATAGATTTACACCTGTATTTTGTCTCCAGGAATAAATTTACATCAGTATTTTGTCCCCAAGAATAAATGTGCAGCAGTATTTTTTCTCGAGGTATAAAATTGCAGCAGTATATTGATTCCAGGAATAAAGCTGCAGCAGTATTTTTTCTCCATATATGAAGTTGCAACAGAATTTTGTCCCCAGGAAGAAATTTGCAGCATTTTGTCCCCAAGCAGAAGGTTTTAGCTGTATGTTGACCATTTCTGCAACATTGGTATAGAAGCTACCAGCGATCTTTTTTAACCTTCATCTTCATTTCCATGAAAACTGCCATCCCCATCGCCATCTAGCAATGTCAGTTCTCGTTCCCTATCCTGTAAATACCACAAAAAGATCAGGTAAAATCAGGCACCAATGACAACTTACAATAACAGTGACAATGTCATATCTAATCAGTTTATTTCTACTCAAATGTTTCAGTTTCATCATTATTAAAGCATTTTTTAAAAAAGTTTCATATCAACAACAAATATACAAAGCATATATATGAAATTTTGTTCTCTAAAAATAGCAAATACTCCACTTAGGTCTAACAACTGAACAGTATGTAATATAATGAACTCTTCATATTTCTTTTGAATATAACTGGACCTTCCAATGATACATACGTTATGAAACATTTGATAAATGAATTTTATCTTCTAATGAAAACACAACTTATCTTCCATGCTAAAACTTACACAGAACACTTTTTTACATAAAAAAAACTGAAAATAATGGTCTTTGTATCCAAATAACCAAAACTAGCAGAAGTACAGATCAAATATAGTTAATCCTGAACTAGAGACAGCTTACCACAACGTATACAAATACAAGAAACAGGATAAGTAGTGTTTACCTTTCTGACTCGATATAAAGACACAATGATATATATCTTATAAAAAGACTTCTACTTAAGATGAATAAGACATGTCCAGTGTAACAATGAGGTCACCCGGTTAATGAACTTTATATCCTCTCTACAACAGACATGTTACATGTCAGTGAGATGTTATGTGAATACCTAAATACACTATAATGAATGTCAGCATTTTTGAAATTCTGAGGCAGGATGATTATATATTTTGACACTTTCCAATCATTATTTTCCACATCTAGTCATGATTTATACATAACCAATATGTTTTTCAACGTCTCTGTTTATCTTAGAAATTGCTGAAAACTAGTACATAGCGTGTGGGCTACATCATAGCTAAAGTGGTATATGTAGTGTCAGCCTTGACATGATAACCGATTTATTTTGTCTGAAGAGCTGGTATGTCTAGGTTTACAAACAGATGGTTAATCAGGCAATACCCATGGTTTGTGATGTTAAGGTAATAACGTTTTGTAACATTCACCAGAGCAAACTTTTCTAAAAAAAATATAGTCAGAATCATAAGATATGCATCGTGTATGTTTCTTTTATGAAACAACTTTTTGTCCATTGCAAGTAACTTGGAAATACCTCTGTAAATTATATGAAACAATTTTAGTGTTAAAAGACCATTTTACATTTATTTCTGTCTAAGACTTCACAGAATGTTACTCGCTTGTAAATTGTGATAATTCGTGAAAATAACATGAAGTGGATCTTCAAAGACTGAATATATCACATCATGCTTTGTTCTTTAATGGATTTCTCGTAAACTGAAACGCATACTTTTCATCTTGAATAAAGAAGTTATTATATGAACCATGAAAAAACATGATATCAGCATTCTAATAACAATATGTACATTGTTGTAAGTATGGATAAAAAGATGTGTGATATGACAATGACTTTCTGTTCTTTTTTCCAAAAGTGCAAAATAATTATTGCTATCTCAAGTATGAGATCATTAGAAGCCCTCATTTGTTGTATCCTAATTTATCCCGGTAGTTCAAAGAGCAGGCAGGTGATATCAATATACATGTTAATTTATGAGATGAAATAAAGATATTATTCTAGTTTCTTGTTTTAAAGCTATCGGGACAATTAGGACTCAAAGATGACTTTAACGTTGAAAAGATTTCTAAACCTTCCCAACACTAGAAGTTGGAAGCAGACAAAATATTGGCATTGCTTATTGTTGAAATTGCTTGACTTTTAATTAAGTTTCTTCTATCTAATTAAACTAAAATAAAATTCAAATGTTTTAGATTGCATTCCCATAAAGCCAGACTGCATCTATCCTTCAAAGTATGTCATGAAAAAATGGCTGGAATTTGTTTGTTTTTTTGTTTTTTTTTCACTAATTTTAGATATCTAAACTGACCAATCGTGAGACTGATCAAACAGGGTCATTTTTCTATTGTAAAATTTAAATGTATCTTTAACTAGAGCAGGTCCACTCTCAGGTAACAACTATAGAAATGTGTCACATGTAGTGACTTTAACCTTGTTCTAATCAAAGTGTGCTGTGATCAGATATACATTGTGGATACAACTCTCAAAATTTGCAGGTTCATGTACATAATATTTACACGTGTCTAACCTCTGAAATGCTTACTGTTGGAATGTCAATAGAAACAATGGCAAATACCAGTAGGTGTGGCAGGGGCCTTATAAATGATATTCGTATGTCAGAGTTCTTTTTTATTTCAAAGAACAATATCTATATTTTGTGATCACATGTTAAAACAGCCTTTTTTTTTTATTTAAAACCTATTTAAAAGAGAAATAAATAAATTTGAAATATCAATAATACAACACAACTTGTTTTTTGTTTCTAAGCAACTTATTACCTCGTCTCCTGTTTTGAATAGTTAGGTTTTGATGAGTCGTTAAAAATGAATTGATGGAAAATTTTCAAATCAGTGGCATGCATATGCTCTGTCTATATATACCTAGATGGCATGCAAATGTAGATTTGGCCATGCAAACAGAGGAGAAGTGTGAACAAGTCAAGACAAAAATTCAACATGCAACAGAGGAATGGTGAAAACAGAAAGAAATGCAACAGAGAAGGGAATCATATTTTGAGATTTCAGAAGGTAATTTAGTAAGCGAAAACAGAGAATCTTGGGGGAAAACACAAGAGAAGTGAAGTGGAGCATCCATAAATGACAAAAGGAAGGAACTTAACAATGTTTGTAGTCAAATTATACAAGCTCTGTTTATGATATGACAAGGAGTGATATGATTCACACAAAATTTAGCATGTAAAATTTTTGTAAAAGAATATTTTCCTGGAATGATATGTCATCTGGGACTTGAGAATGAAAACGTTTACTCAAAACATATACACATGTCCCATATGTAGTTTTTACAAAAATGAGATAAGATTTGTAAATATGCTGGACAGTTGATCAAAATGAACTAATGGTAATGTTTGATGAAAAATTCTTTGTTACACAGACAAAATATGTAGTTTGTAGTGGTTTATAATAATATTATCGCCAAATTTCTTAGTAAAGCAGCAAGTGTTTAAGTAGAACACAGAGAGGGATAATTAGGTAAGAAACATGTAAAGGGAGATCATTTGGTGAAATTGCACAATAGGTGATGATTGAGTAAGACAGCTTTGTGAGAACACGAAGGGAGATAACCTTGTGATATGAGTACAAGGGAGATAACTGGGTAAGAAAAAACACAGGGTATATGCGTGAAGAAGTAAAGAATAAAATATCTGATTACACTTGACGCCCTCCGTCCTTGTCGGGAAACTTCCTGTGAAAGTAAACATATCAAAAAATTGTGATTTCATGGCAACATTATTACTTATGATACTTTGTCATAGGTAAATAGGAAACAGTCATTAGCACACAGCCATCTACAATATAAAACGAAGTAATCAGTTTTTCTGATAAAATTTACCAGTTTTTTCTGTATGAAAACATCCTGATACCTACCTCTTCTATTTTCTTTTAAAGATATAAAAATCTTGATGACTTTCTGATTTTTTAAACAGATTGAAGTCTTTAGCCACCTTGTTACAATAATACCCATTTAAGAAACATGATTTTCATATCTAAATAAACTGTTTTCATGAAACTTTATGTCAAAAAACCTTGTTTTGGTGTCAGTATAAGTATTGTACTTTACAAAGAAATCTAAAACAAGGGTACCATGTATATGTTCATTGTATTTACTGACGAGTTTGTTAAGAATTTACTAAGGAAAATAGGCTCTAACAGGTGGTAAATAGAATATCAAATGTGTTATGTAGGGTATTTTGTGTTGTATTTATTTGCATTAACTTTAATACATGGAAATTTAGTCCAACATATATTTTTACTTTAAACATGTTCATTTTTGTAGTAATTTCTATGATAATACTGTTTTCTTAGGAACCAATGTCAATAGTGACTTGTAGTCTATAGTTACTCCCATCTATTGTGAGTCGGTGTCTATAGTTACTCCCATCTATTGTGAGTCGGTGTCTATAGTTACTCCCATCTATTGTGAGTCGGTGTCTATAGTTACTCCCATCTATTGTGAGTCGGTGTCTATAGTTACTCCCATCTATTGTGAGTCGGTGTCTATAGTTACTCCCATCTATTGTGAGTCGGTGTCTATAGTTACTCCCATCTATTGTAAATAACTATCTATGGTTACCCAACATTTGTTAGGACTCACTATTTATAGTTATCCCCTGTCTATATTGACTCACTATATATAGTGTTTCACTGTCTATTAATCACAATATCTATAGTTACTCCTCATCTATAATGACCCACTCTATAGTAATTTGCTGTCTATAGTGAATCCCTGGCTATAGTGACTCGCTGTCTTTAACGATTAGTTGTCTATAGTGACTCCCTGGCTGTAGTGACTCACTGTCTAAAGTGACTCACAGTCTATAGTGACTGCCTGCCTATATTGACTTGCTGTCTACAGTTACTCACTGTCTATAGTTAGTCACTGCCTATAGTTACTTACTGCCTATAATTACCCCTGTCTGTAGTGACTCACTGTCTATAGTGACTCATGCCTATAGTTACCCCTGTTTGTAGTGACTCACTGTCTATAGTGACTCTCTGTCTAAAGTTACTAACTGCCTATAGTTACTCACTGTCTATAGTTACTGTAGTTACTCTCTGTGTCTAAGTGACTCTCTGTCTATAGTTACTCAGTGCCTATAGTTACCCCTGTCTAGAGTTACCCCTGTCTGTAGTGACTCACTGCCTATAGTGACTCATGCCTATAGTTACCCCTGTTTGTAGTGACTCACTGTCTATAGTGACTCTCTGTCTATAGTTACTAACTGCCTATAGTTACTCACTGTCTATAGTTACCCCTGTCTATAGTTACCCCTGTCTGTAGTTACTCTCTGTCTAAGTGACTCTCTGTCTATAGTTACTCAGTGCCTATAGTTACCCCTGTCTAGAGTTACCCCTGTCTGTAGTGACTCACTGTCTAAGTGACTCTCTGTCTATAGTTACTCAGTGCCTATAGTTACCCCTGTCTATAGTTACCCCTGTCTGTAGTGAATCTCTGTCTAAGTTACTCTCTGTCTATAGTTACTCAGTGTCAAAAGTTACCCCTGTCTATAGTTACCCCTGTCTGTAGTGAATCTCTAAGTGATTCTCTGTCTATAGTTACTCATTGCCTATAGTTACTCCTTGTCTGTAGTGACTCACTGTCTAAGTGACTCTCTGTCTATAGTGACTCACTGCCTATAGTTATTCACTGCCTATAGTTACACCCTGTCTGTAGTGATTTGTTGTCTAGAGTGTCTCCCTATCAATAGTTACCCCCTGACTATACTTACTGGCTGTCTATAGTGACTCACTGTCTAGAGTGACTCTCTGTCTATAGTTACTCACTGTCTATAGTTACTCACTGCCTATAGTTACCCCCTGTCTGTAGTGGCTTGTTGTCTAGAGTGTCTCCTTATCAATAGGGACTATACTTACTGGCTGTCTATAATTACTCTCTGTCTGGCTATCTATAGTTACTCTCTGCCTATGATAACCCCCTCTCTATAGCAATGCTAGTATGAAGTTATCTGTGATACAAGGTGGAAATTCTCTCAAATTGGAGAGCATAAGAGTGCCACCCAAGGATAACATTGACAATATTTGCCCATGTATAGTGAATATCAATATAACTAAAAAGTCATTAATTCCAGTACACTACAGATATTAAAAGAATCTCTATTTGAAAATATTCAGAAACAAAAATTCCATTTTACCAAAGTTCCATTGTTAATAATTTCAACTAGTACATAGCAACATTTAAATACATCATCTCTTATTGGAAGATAAAGAGGAAAAAATTGAGCGTTAATAGAGCTGTCCATCTAACTAGTGTTAACCATACCAGTTATAGATATAATGTCAAATGAATAGAAATAAAGAATAGAATCTTAGCAAACTAGTTTCCACTTTAGAATAAATAGTCTATTAGTTAATATTTGATTGTATCAAAAATTGCTTCTGAAAATAAAATACCGATGATATTGTATGTTAGATTGTATTGTCATCTTTTTTAATGAAATAGAAAAGATATATTAAACAAATAGTTTGGCTTGCTGTCCTGAAAGAAGAAATAAAAGCCCATAGCCTATTTTTGTAGTCTAAGTCACTTACAGCTCTTCGACGGAACCATATTTCTGAAAAGTATACATATGGTTTTCATATCAAAGGCAGAGATATTAAGTTAATTATATGATTGAAGTCAGTCACTTTTCAGAACACAGCAGATTTCTGCTTGGCACTGCTTGAACCTCACATCTTTTGTTGATCTCATTTGATCGGTTTATGGATTTTTTTTACACTGGCACATTTATATTGGGTATTAAATGGCAAAAATAAACCTGAAAATAAACAAGTTCTCATACTTCCTATCCTGAGGAGTATCCCTGATACTCATGGTCATTAATTTGTGTCAGATATCAATCCAATCATGTTATATAGAAGGCAGGAATAATTTTGATATAAACATGCAATAATCCTGGGAATTACCACACAACCAAGCACCATCACACAATTACTGTTCACAACCATAAACACAAACCACATATCATGCAATATTAAGCATTCCTGTAGTTAACTATGAATTTTTCTGTAACATCAATTTATCATATGACTTATTTTCTACAATTAACACTTTGTTATTTACTTTTTGTAGCGGTTTAAAGTGACTTTCACTGTAGTGATAGTGTGATAACATCTCCTTCATCTTGTTTTCAGTTTTAGTAGTTTATTATCTGAAATTTGTCATATGATAAACAGAGTCTTATACTCTTGTACAGCTACCACAAAATTTGTCAATTTCATCGCATGATCAGACAATTTATAATCATTTTCCGAAAGTTCTAAATATGTCACATGTTTGGCAAAGTCTGTACAACATGTACTGTTGTATAAGAATTTCCACACAATGAACACATTAATCAATATTTAAGATATTTAAATGTGGGATGGAGAGTATTATATTTTGATTTTTAACCATACTTCAGCTGTAATAAGCCCATGACCATTGAAATATTTCCGTTTTTCAATTACTTTTCAAAATAATTTTCCAATATTTTAAGAAAACATGCAGTCAGTGAATAATTCTTAAACATATCATTAAAACATATCAGAATGATTGTCAATCTCAAGAACATTTTTTGATAATTCAAGATATAACAAAAGGATTCCAAGAAAATAAGGTTAATTATATTGTAGGATGAAAAAAATAAATAAATAAAACTTCACATGTCTTATCAAGATAACACTCAATACAATCTGCAGTTAAATTAGTAACTAACCTATATTGTCACTTATGAAGAGCTTAGTATTGGTAAAAGTATCACATGTATATTCGTACACAATCTCTATACATTTTTCTTGCTCTATTTTTCACAAAGGTATAATACACTTGGGCTGATGACAGGTAAAATATGGTAAGGATAAGTTTAACTCCCAGTAGGATAAAGTTATTTTAAATAGGTATTATGGTATATCACATTAAATATGGTAGATATATCGCACAGTCATAATGAAAATCATACCTTTCCATCCTTTGACAAACAAAATAATTCAAATGTATTTATCATTAATGGCAACTTTTGTGTGTTTGAAAAACAACTTTTCTACAGATATTTCATTTCAATCATCAATTAAATATTATTATTTTTTTTTTTAATTTTGGCAATTACAATATAACTGGGAATTTTCATGGGTCAAAATGTTGAATGGTTGAATTACATAACAACAAATTAAAGTTTCACTATCTGGATGTAAAACATCAAATACACACATGTTCAATTATTTCCAGGTCATGTATTACAAAAAAACCTAAAATGTCTTTCCTGCAAAATAATCCAGCTATATGGTACATGTATTTGATTTTGTGAATCATGACAATCTATTTAATCAATTTAATGTTGCTAATTCATATCTAAAAAAAATAGTTATGAAATATTTAATTTAGGGTGGACAGTTTATAATGAAATTTATTTCAAATTTCATGACAGTTATACAGCAAGGCAATATAAGTTGTACATGAAGCAATCCATAGCCTGGACAAACTATCATACATGAAAATAGACAAAGAGCTATAACTCTGCATTTACCGGGCACAAACACACAAATTCAAGATCAAGATCTCAATCTTTTTGACTTCACTGGTTGATTTTCTAATTTTCAGAAGATCAAGACCCAACAATGTACAGCCTGGTATAAGTAACAATACATTTTAGCATAATTCAGATAAAAAAAATGTCCTCATTAAATTTGTAATAATAATCAAAATTCAAATTTTTGTACAAATTACAAAAGTCAGAATTTGAATATATTACTAGTGGTCTTGTAATGTTAACAAAGCTAAACTAGATCCAAATATATAACTGGGTCCAAATGTTTAAACAGTTTTACTATTATGTTTAAAAAGCATTAAAAATCAAATCAACAATGTTTCATGTATTGATTTATACACTCACCCGGAGACCCAGTATGCGTTCACTGAGAATCTTCAGGTGATATGGATCTTTAGTCAGCATAAGTTCTCGCTTCAAACGATTTATTTCCCGGTTTGTGTCTCTTTGTTTACGTTCCAGCTCCATGATCTCCTGATGTGTTTGGTCACAAATCCTACAACAACAGAAAAACTTATTGGAAAGCTGAAGTTTTTCTTTACAACTGGTTGACTCATACTTCATACTGGTAGAGAGACAGAAAATTTCCATGATTTGAAAACGATATTTCGGGAATTTTTTTTACAATTATTAGCCTATTACTGCACCAGAATACGATAAATTAGATTAAGTGAATATTTTGATACTTTTGGACAAAAAACTTGTGAGATTTTCTTTTTATAAACCTTTTTCTGAAAATCCTAACAAATGGAAGGAGAAAGAGAAAGATTTTACAAACACATTGACTATTATAAACATATACATTGTTATCTTCCATTTCTCTGACGTCATAAGACAATCAAGCCGTTACTGATGACTCCATATTGCGTAACCTTGTTGGCATACATATAGGCCTACCTAACCAGCAAAATTAATTGTAAAGCTTCTTAAGATCTGATATGAGAATGGTTATGCTTTATAGATCAGAAGTAATGACGAGTTTTACATATATATATATATCTACTTATGTTTATTTTTAGAATTCATGAACATATTTAATATATATCCAAATTTCCATACCAATAACCTACCATATGTATATATTTTTTAAGCCCAATACTCTGAAGTAGGTTGTTTTTCAAGGTAAGATAAACTTATTAGTCATTCGCCAATGGAAAAAGCACTTAGCAACAGATATCAATTTACCAAACCAATAGCATGAAATACAATGATATTTTTAGAAGTTATTTCTTTTAAACTTGATCAGATTGTTCTTACTTTTGGTATTCCTTTTTCAGAGCGTCCGACATAGCCAGGGAGTTCTGGATTAGCTGTTTATATGTAGGACCTGGTTTTGTGCATGATGTCAAGGATGAAATAGGTAAATTTATGATATATACATATATGATGTAAAAGTTTGCTTTTGTGGAATTACTTAATGAATAACTGATTGGCATGACAAAGGGGATCAATGGCAGAAAAAGAGAAAGATTCTAACAGAAAATACCAGTATTTATATAGTGAAATCATAAAACACCGACATCAAATGTCCAACAGATATCTGCGCTATTGTAAAAATTTATAGAGAAAATATTTATCACCTTCATCATTAGAAAATATGACACAAAAACTTGAAAGGATATGGGAGTCCGGATATTTCTGTGCGACGAACTTTTCGACCAGGTTGATGGAAATCCTTGAGTTGTCTCATATGAAGGAAGTGTGAAATCAGTGGACTTCTTCCAGAGGTGTTGAACATCACACGCTCATAATTAGGGCCTGGTCCTATCTGGTGTGACTGTGAATCAAATATACATAATCAGGACCACACTAAACGTGTGATTTAATATTGTGTGCCCATATCTATTTTCTTCTTTCTAACTTTGAACTTTCGACAAGATACTGGAAAAATACCTCTCTAAATAACATGTTCTTACATTATCTTTATCAACCTTGGAATCAGTGGGTAAAAAATGTCTTAAGAGTTTTCAAGTTGATAAAAGCAATGAGATAAGAAAAACAAAGTTTGATAATGAATCTAAACGGCAATGCTTCTTGAACTTGAGTAGAGAGACCAGTTTAAAATTTCTCAATTGATAAGTTTTAATTTTAAATGAACCTGTATTAAGAGGCCACTTTTTATCAACAGCGCATTTTAATCACTTCTATGGAATCTCTTAATACAAGTTTTAAGCTGTATCATTTAACAATAAATAACAGATATATGTTGGTTTTTTTTATTCGTGTTTATAAACACAGGGATGTATTTCTGAGGCAGACTAACATTTTATGGTAGTATATAGTTGTTTAAGTCAGTTATCCATTATATGTTTAAAAGATTAAAACTCTTCTCATTTCAAAATACAATAAACATGGTATTCAATGAAATAGCTTGGTAGACTGGCATAGTTTAAAGACATAACAAATGTCTGGTACTGACAGGAATTTCAACCATTCAATGGAACAAGTAGAAAAAGTTTATCATAGAAACAATTTTTTGTAGTAACACATGTTCAAAATTTATCAATTAACAAAAACTAAAAACTCAAAACCAAGAAATACTTATTGTAACAACAACAGGATGTTCGAGAAAAACAGTACAACCTCATCCGACACTTTTATTTTGATTCTTTTATTTTGAGAACTAGGCTAAATAATAGTCTTTCAAAAACAATTAAAAGTTGTCAGAAAAATGAGGTTCTGCTGTTTTAGCTTTTATGAAATCAGTAAGGAAATTTTGCTTTAACAATATCAAGTCATTTTAAGGCATACTTACGAAGCGCTTTCGTTTTATGCAAATTCCAGGATAGTCATACTAGATAAAATATTTTTTGTAATTGTAGTATATAATCATTTATTGAGAACTAAACATACATATAAATTCAAAATTCATGTACAGCAAAGATTCATGTTATCCATCCTATCACATCATAAATGTACTATAAGAATAATCAGAATAAAATTGTGTTGGGAGGGGGGGGGGTTGGGGGGGTTTAGAGGTAGGGGCGGATGGATTGGGTGGGGGGAGAGGGGGGAATTAAGACTATCTAAAATTGATTGCATGTGGTACCAAATGGGGTCCTGTCAGAAGTACTGGTTTATGAGAACCAACCTCTATTGGTTAACAGTGTAGGGTGCCACAGATGCAGTACTGTTTTGAGAGACCTCACCTCTATCAGTGAATAGTGTGGTGTTCCAAAAAAGCACTGATTGGTTTACAGTCTGGGGTGCAACAAGGGACCATTTAGGAAGTTCTGGTTTGTGAGATCTCACCTCTATCTGTTAACTGTGTGGAGTTCCATACATAGCCACACAGACAGGACTGGTCTGACAGGTCTGATCGCTATTGGTTAACAGTGTGGGGTGCCACAAGGGACCATTTAGAAAGTTCTGGTTTGTGAGATCTCATCTCTATTAGTTAACAGTGTGGGATGCCATACTTGGCCACACAGGCAGGACTGGTTTATGTGTGAACCCACTTCTATTGCATAACAGTTTGAAATGCCACAAGTAGTCATTCAGGAAGAACTAGTTTATGACAACTCACCTCTTTAGGTTTACATTGTGGAGTGCCACAGGTGGCCATGTGGGAAGGACTGGTTCATGAGAACTCACCTCTTTAGGTTTACGCCGTGGAGTGCCACAGGTGGCCATGCGGGAAGGACTGGTTCGAGAAAACTTTGGCTCCAACTGTTGATTTATCATTCCTGTACTCTGTACAGTCATGTTGCTGGCAGTTGTCATTTTAGTGACTTCACGAGAAGGGAGAGGGGTGGGGCCATTGGACACACCATTGTTACCATTATTCTCTTCACCCCAAAGTTTGTCTATCAGCTTGTTAAAGGAGTCAACATCTAAAGAAAGCTTCACTGAAAAATATCATAAATTCTCAAATTAAGAATGAATTAATGCATACAAAATGCACTGAGGAATATGGATGAATATTAACAAGAAAAACAACTTTACAGAATTATATATAAAGTAAAATTAGTGTTAGATTTATCATCTGTAAAATGTAGAAAAAGCTCATTGATGTATATCACCATTTTTATTATTAGAAATAGTGACCTTGACCTTAGGAACTTGAAGTTTTGGGTTCATGAATACTGTACCAGGTAATCCCAGAAATAAAATGTGGACAGAATGAATGACATGAAGTCGTTGGTATGGCAGTTGGAAGGACACACATACAGACAGAAAATGGGACAGATAGATAAATAGATAGATGGACAAACAGATGTTATGACACAGTAATGATCAAAATCTTATAAATGCAAGTTTCCTGCCAGCGAACCCTGCTGTGTATTTGCTTGAAGATGTAACTGAATTACCTGATAAATAAAGGAAAAGATTTCTATCTAAAGAAAAGAAAAAATAATGGAGCTCTTCTGTAAGATACTGATGGACCACCAGCTTTTGAGAAATACAGATGGGTTTCCTATTCACCATCAAATAGTTCTTTTGTTTGTCCACAAATTCCTTCAATAAAATTCCCATTAAACACAAACATGTCCTGTGATTCAACTTTTTTTTTTAAATCATTAAAGAAATTCAGTTGTTTTGAAATGGGATGAGATAGGACACAAAAGTTTGGTATATGTTCCTCATATAATGGGAAAGGTATGAAATGAAGTACTGACTGTCATTGCTGAAGGAAGTGACCATCATCTTTTTGGCATCCTTGCCCTGATTCTCCACTCCTCTGTGTTTGGCCTCCATTCTTTTGATATCCCAACTTTTGTAAACCCTAGGCATGGGTCTGAGGCCTGAAAAATAGAAATTTAGAGTCTAACAGTTCAAAATGTTCTCTCCTAGTAGTAAAAAAGAATTTTACAAAGTCTGTGAAATATTTTCAGGATTTAGATAGAGCATTTCTTTGCAAGGAGATGAAAAAAAAATTCTGCAAACTATGGCAAATAGTTAAGTCTTTGAATCATTTTACAGCAGATGCTAGTTCCGTGTCAGTCAGTATTCTTCACATCATCTTTGTTCATCGAGGATGTTTGACACAATCCTGTCCTGAAGGTACTGGATTGTAATCCTTAGCAAGTGAAGATGACATTACAAAATACCTGTAGTCCATTCGACTACTGTGTTGACAAGATCCTGTTTGAACTGTTCATCCATTTTTCCTCGAGATTCTGGGAAAGCTTCCCAATATGCCATAAACACAGCCTGGGCCAGGCAATCAGGATATACCTATAGACAAAAAACAATATATTTTCCATCACAGATGATAATTATAGCTATATAACTGAACAAATAACTAAATAAGGTCAGATATCCAACTCCTTGACAAATTTCATTGCTAAAAATAAGACTTGTTCAAAATTCATTCCTTGCCCTAAATCATTGGTAAAACTGAAAAATTCAACAGGTTTTTTTTTTACATGAAATTTTAATTTTGATAACATACTGACTTGCTCATCTGTTTTCTGGGTTTATCATCCCATGAACAGGCAGGGTCATTTTGAGGCAAGTGGTGACTACCTCACTGAACAACATAAGAGAGGCCTGTCATATATCATTCAGAACAATCAGGGTTAAGTCTCTAGCCAAAGGACACAACAACATCACCACAGACTGGTCCGCATCTCAGCTTCCTGAGAATCTCAAACTGCTCTGCTAACATTAACACACAGGCAATGTGTAGGAAGATACATACAGCTAAAAATTTGTCTTTGACATCTGAGTGGATACTGGTAAAAAGGCCAACAAAACTGTCTGCAATTCTGTCAAATAGCAGGTCAAGGTCATCCTGCTGATTAGGCTGGAATACACAATGGAGTCAGGTAGTAACAAACATGAGGGAAAATTTATACTCTGCCAACATTTAACTGATAATATCTACTTCTAATAAATAGTTTCCAATGCCAACTTATGCTTTCACTACAGAAGTCCTTATGATTCTTTAACATTTATGATAGAAACTAACCATTTTGAAATTGCCAAGTCTCATTTTTTGAAGGGTGTCTCATATAGTTTAATGTTTTTTCCACATTTTAAACAAATAGAATAACCTAAAATTTGTTTTTCCCCAAACTCAAAAACAGGATAAGTTTGTTCCACAGATCACTTTTAATTTGCAACACCCATGAAGAATTTGATTGTTTGGCAAGTAAAGTTTCTCATACTGTTGTTGACACCAAAAGGTTACAATGTAACTGAAAGAATTTCAGATTTACAAAAATACTGAAACACAAAACAGTGTCCTTAATAAACTTCAGACAAGCTTACAACATACATGTATTAAGTTAAGGCTATATGCCATGCTACAACTTTATGTCTTTCCTTTCAAAAAGAGTATCTGAGTTTCACTTCAACAAATACCGATCTGAAATCTTTAATAAGCAGTAATAAGCACCCCTGAAGAAATAATTGTACATAAGATTTATCCTCAGTAAATACATAGTAACCTATTCAAGTGAGATAACTAAAATAAAATATGAAAATAATTTTTTTGTCAAATAATCTCGACTTACTTTTTAGCAGGGATATATGTAATATAATAAACATAAGACAGGCATTGTATTCACTGAAATTTCATTAACATTTGTATTCATTCCTATTTGTTATGGACTTGTAATTTCCCAATTCATCTCTTGAAGTGATTTAGAATTCTACAATGGGTTCCTCACATATCACCAATCAAATTTTTCATTTTGTATAACCTGGAAAGTGAACAATAAAATACATGTTTATAAATTTAAAGAAAACAACATGTTCTTGTTATAAAATGTAGCCATAATGTACTTACATCATATTTACTTAAGAAGAACCACCAGAAAGTATCCTGCATCATAGCTACTGAGGCCTCAGACAAAAACAGTTTCTTCCAGAATTTCTTGAACCCGGGCTGTTACAGAAATAAAACATATGTAAAATATGTATTGATATGTTTGTTCAATTCAATTTATCAAATTGAAAACAAAACATTACTTAAGAATATTTGAACTTAATCAATTCTTCCATCTATCAAACCATAAACTTGTATATATTTTTTTCTTTTGTTGAACAACTTGTCTTTTTTACTTAAAACCATGTCATAAATTCAGGTGCCATCTTCAAAAGAAGGATTTTAAAGTAACAAAGCAAATACATAAGTTTGTTTTCTTTTAGAATGCCTCTTACTGATAACTCATGGTTATATTGATTTATCATCTTATTTACACTTAACAGTAGTTTTTTTTAAATGTTTTGTTCGGTGATGAAATTACTAGTTTTAAAGATTGGATCAAAAATTGCAAAATTATCATGAATTGTTCAGTTTTCACAGTAGATTTAGTAATGGTATGGAGAAAGTAGACATACATTAAAATTTTGAGCTTTTGTGACCCGATGAAGGATGGGCGGAGATTCCATTTGTCCAGGAAGTTCTATCAATTCTCCATGACGGAACCCAGGGAACTGACAGTATTCAAGACTCTTCTTCTTTGTTTCCATCATAGATTCAGCAAAGTCCTGAAGTACAGGAAAATAACATTATATATTGTGTTTTTTTGTTTGCTGTCCTCAGCTCTGTTTATCCAGCAAAATTTGATATTATACAGGATCTTGTGACGAAATCTGTCCATAGTTAAATCAAAGTGACTTCTAAAATGAGAGTCTTAAAAAAGAGTTCAATTTTACTGTAAAAAGGCATGTAATGTCTTGGAACAATATAGAACAACACATAATTTACATAGGAAAACAAAGGACATTCAGATCACCCAGCCAGGTAGATATGTCAAGGATGGAACTAATTTAAAAGGGACTGTTTAATTTAGGAAAATACTTGAGCTATCATGAAATCAACAGCCATTAATAAGTCACAAGGTTTTGTTTAGTAATTGGTATTTTGAGTGTTTTTAAGGTATATTCAGAAACTAGGAAAATAAAAAATTTCTAATTATATCATCTGTTTCCATTTTAGCAGGAAAATTACGGAAAATGAAAATACATTTGACTTACCATAGTTTTATGACCCCTAGCACTGTGATGGGATTTGACTGCATCAGATTCTGACATCTCCGTGAGAAAAGCTGAAAAGTAGATCAACTATGAATAAAAGTATTCTTTTGCTTTTTAGATTTCCAATTTTGTGATCAAACCAGAAAAACGCCTCCATGGTTTTAAAACTTTTGCCCTTAGTACTAATGACGAGTTTTTAGAAGGATGAAACAGCTATAATGGTGTAGTTAAATTCATTATATTTTAGCTTTCACTACATCTAATTTTTAATTTGTATTGAAAGGTTCTATTTGTTGTGTTTCTTTCGTAGAATTACAAAGTTAAATAAAATTCACGTTGTAAGATGATCAAAAACTAAATTTTGCAGTGTTTTTAAACTGTAGAATTGGAAAAACTTCACATGAAGCTTACTGAGTAAATTCATGTCCATTTGTTTTATAATCACATGAATTTATAGTTATGTTCAGGAGACAGATGAATTTATTTTTCTTTTGGTTATTTTGGAACTCACTTTTTGATGGGGAGAAAAACAGCCTGTCCTGGCCTTGTTGCTCCTGTTTTCCCTCTGTCACTATCTGGTCAGAGTAAAAGTGTAATTTCTCTTCTAACTCATCCAGACGAAGTTCTAACTCCTCAAGTTTGTTAAGTCCCAGAGCTAGTTTCTCTTAAGGATTCATAATGAAAAAGTTTCTTAACCTGATTAATAATTATTTTTTAATAATTTTTTAATAATTTCTTAACACATTTATTATAGGCTCATATTCAGCACACAATTATCCTACAACAATCAAATGGACAGATGATAAAGGATACGAGCTGATTCCCTAAGGAGATCTGCAATTTCCTCTTGTGAACCAAGCAGTAAGATTTCCCCTTCAAGGTCTAGTGCCCCTTCAGAGGTAAGGCGTTGGGGCCATTCCGTCTAAAATCACAAATTACAAATCATTTAGAGTCATTTGTATTGATTGGTCACAAGTCATGTAATGACATTCATCATCAGTTGATTTAGACCCTATTGAGACATAAATTGCACCAAACAGTTACAAATAAATCTTGTGTTGAGTACAATCACTATAAGATCCATTACTAAATACTCCAGATTTAATAGTGTCAGGTATTCAGGACTTTTGGCAATTAGAACATTCAACCTTTGTGCCTTTCCTGTGACAGCACACCCAAACAGACATTGCTCTTTGTAGAAGTCCTTATGAAAGAGAGTGGTCTGCATCTCCTGCCAATGCAACAATAACCATGGCTTCCTATTTACAATTAAGCCCTACTACTTTGTTGTTGTAGTATGAAATGTATGTCTATTCACGACCCATTACATTTTCATTCTGTCAAAATTGGTACTACTGTGGTCATACATGAATTTGTTCTTATTAATGTCAATATGATATGTAAGAATTATTCTCACCAATCCTTCAATTTTCATAAACTCTTCAAATGTTGTTGGAGGTTTTTCCTTGTCTGGGGCTGGAACGGGACTCTTATCTTCCTCCTCCTTCTGCTCTAGCTGAGCCATAATGGCCATTACACGTGGATCCATTATCTGAACTCTGAAGTTTTAAATTAAAAACACCAAAACTTCTTCATTGTTGACTGAAACCTTCCCTCGAGACTTAAAATGGTCACTGAAATATTTTCATTCGTTTTCAATCATTATATACTATATGATTGACTGATCTGGTCGATTGGCTGTTCAAGTAAAGCATTAAGACGAATATTCCCAACCTTTTAGGGAAGCAACTTTTTCATGTTAAAGAGATGGATACGTTTTACACGTAAAACGGCTTTTGATAATCGAAATGAACCAAACAATGAGCAGACAAATACGTTAATCGAGTTGGCATTAGTTTTGGCATTTGCTTACCTACAGAAGAACCTAAGCCTATGGCGATATTCGCAATGCTTATTCGGATACTGTGCTACAGTACCATACTAAAATGATGCGAACAGCCATTTTTATTGCAAAGTACAAGATCATTCCCTCGCCAATCTATAAGCCACATGGTTATCTTGTGAATAATCCCCATATACTCACTTGATATTTTCCGCGTATCTACATATAATACATAGCAAGCAGAATGATGTACGGAAGTAAATCTAGCGTACAACTTCGTTGCTATGAACGCCTTCCGTCGCCATTTTCTATGTTAATATTGGGGTTACTTCCCTTGGGCAAGTGCGTGCGTTCGAGTGATATTTCCGTTTCGTTCGATTGCAACATCAAATATTATGATATAATTAATGGATGACTGTTGATATTCATAATCAGTTTAATTTCTATGACATATAATACATTTTTTTTGTGAAAAGTACTAACTATTATGGCATGAAAAGTTGGAAATATAAAAAGTTCAATTGATTTGCATGGAAACACAGCATCACAAAGCAATATATGAACTTATTTGCCACAAATACAATAATTGTTGTCACAAAACATTTATTTCAATAAAGAATCAAAGCAGTTTATGGAGTAAGCAGAATCTATACAATGCTACTCATTTTGTAACAGCTGTTGTGTGGGGAAAAATTTTATTTTTACAGTTAGTGACATTTTTTGTTGTTGGAAAGGACTGATGTAGACACAAACTGTTGTCTTATCTATTTGATAATGCATTTATTGTAACAATGGTAATATTTAATTTTATACAATGAACAATAAAACATGTTGAAACTATGCCTATTTGGAATTTGCTAGCTTGGTTTGTCACTTCATGAACACCTCTATGACAGCTATCATTGTGAGAACTTTAATGTATAGATCAAAGCAAAGCATGGAGTTTGATCCAGCCCAGTTGAAGGGACTTAAGCTTTGAAGTGGAAACTGGCTGTGTTCTGTTGTGCAATGGGAGCAGATCTGAGTACCTTAAAAGTGTTGGAAACAGCTTCAGTTGTTCAGCTCAGAGGGCTTTCCGGCTCTGTTGGTAGCATTGTGGATTATCACATCAAGAATCAGGGTTCAATTCCTGTTAGGATACCCAGACATAATTTGCTTGTTCACATGACACCAAATGTTGAGATTTTGCATTATTCATTCCTGTTGAATTTGATATGAATGTTGGTCTTCGAAACAGAAAAAAATAAAACCCAATCTTATATATGTGGCCAACTGTAATACAGGAGTAAAGATGAATTGACGAGAAGTTTGACAAATCTACAGGTTGATGGCATGACCTTGACTCCAGCCATGATGTCATCACGAATCACTGACACGTATGACCTATTTCATTTTGAACACTGGATGAAGTTTGACAATCTCAATTCTCTAGTGCTGGCTTTAATTATCCAAAGTGACACGGACTAGTAAACTTCAGGTATTCCAATATTTCCTCATACCGTGAAGATTGATCACTACTCGATAAGAAATGTTACCACATATATATATTTGCGACTTGTTAATCTATGTAGATAAACCTATTTGTCTGCACTTTGAAAGTAACATTTCAGGAATATGTCAAGACAGACCAGCAAATATTAATACTGACCTGAAAAATGTTTAGTTGAGGCTTGTTAGAAACAAAATAACATGGGTAGGCCTTTCTTCTGTCAAATCCTGGTTCAACTGATCAAACAAATATAGAGTATATGTACATGTTATAGCAGCTACCTTATTTAAGCACTTTTTGTGCTAATATATAACATTGCCAAAGAAGACGGATTCCATGGATTTCAATTGTATCAACCTTCCTTGCTGGGGCTCAATTGAATACTGTTAGATATCCATCTCTGATTCCTGCAACACCTGATCTATGACCGGAGACAATCTGGACGCTGGTTCTCTCTTTCTCTGTTAGGAGTATTGTTAAATGCTGTGTCTGTATGTCATTTAAAGCACAATGCACTGTTTTGTTGAAAATTGATATTGCACTGTACATAAACAAGCCTGTTTACAATACTGTGTTGCATGCCAGTGAAAACATCTTGATAGGATCACTATGTACCTATAAGTAATGAGAAGTGTGCTTTTTGCAGCAGAATGATAACATATAACAAGATAAAACAAAACATATCATTGTTATGATATTTAATAGCAAAATTTCAATTATACAGAATTACAGTACTCCGAAGGACAACAGAATCAATCTGTTTACACAAAATATTCAAGGTGAAAGGATCACAATAAAAATGATGTACAAAAAAGAAGGATGATTAATTTGGTATACAGGACAGAGCTACTTTCTACACAAGAAACCCTGTTTGTCCTATGGTTTATTGTCCATTGGTTGTCTGTAAGAGATGTTTTTTATTCACTCTAGTAAGAAAACTTTCCAATATCTGCATTGGATTGTCAAAGGTCAATCTGTAAGTTTAAAATGCTCTCACCCCTCACTCACAAAAATCCAAGGAGTGTTGACAATTTTTTTAATAATGATAAGTGGAAAAAAAATAAGACAAGAAAATTGGTTCTGATTGGTTTTTTTTCAAAGGTTAGTAATAACTTTGTAAAAATTTCTCATCATATTTGTACAATTTTTGTTTCCTTAATTATAGTAGTCCAGGTTCACATTGTCACACTGTAAAGTTAATATAAAATGTTAAAGATATATACAATGTGTACAAGATATTATTCACCTTTATTTAAATCAACTGTTTTACTTTCCATCTTATATTGGTAACTCCAAAGATCCAAATTTTTTCTACAATATAGTAAAATTTTACTGTACATATTGTTTACAGTAAAATGTGTTATACCTGTTTTCATAATAATGTCTTTTTAAATTCATATGAATGATACATAATTTCTTGTGGCTAACTAACCTGTCATTTAACTCTAAAATTTGTTGTCTTAAAAACTAATGATTTACAAAACACCTCATTGTAAATCTGAAAAATTAGTACATTTTTTTTATTTATAACAATAAAAGGATGGCAAGAAAACTACAATCGAAATGTAAAAGGATGGGTGGTAGGGTGGCACAGTGTTAATACACTCGCCTTTCACCTAGCCATCCGGGGTTCGATTCCAGGGATGGATGTGAAAGGTATGGGATCACCTGGCCAACTACATGGGTTTCCCTGGGTACTTCGGTTTCCTCCCACAGTAGGACCCCTAATGCGCTTCCATTCGGGCCAACAAGAGTGATTAATATAAGTTGGATAAACTTTCTTCGACATTGTTGTAAATAAAGTTTATACTAGAAAGAATAATCATTTTGATGATTGGAAATTCTACAAATCTGCTTTGAGCATCTTACAAAACAATATCTGCAAAATCTTCATTTGGAAAGTGACAAAAGCTGGTCCTGTTATTTTGAGAATTAAGACATAGAAACGAGTGCCAAAGGACAGAATTTCAATCAGAGATCACAATGATTGCAGTTTCCATGAATGCAGTGACAAGGAAGTAAAACATCCACAGACCAACCGTTTAAACCATCTAGTCATTATTGTCCTCTTACACTGAAAACTTTCTGAAAAATCCTTGTTGAAGAAAGCCGCCATATCAACATGAGTGCTGCCATTTTTACACATGCCTGCAATAATTGATAATGTGATCCAGTTAAAATGTGGTCACACTTTGGATGAGATATTTTGATGATGTGATCCTACTATGATACTTAACGAATAAGGTAAAATGTAAATGATCTATCTCTATCTTCCTGGAAAATAATAAATTGATTTCTGTCACTGTTCTAAAATAGGTATGAATCTGAAAGAAAGGTGCCACTTTAATTTACAAACACTATACGTCAATAAACAAAAACTAATTAGAATATCAGTCATATACATAATGAAACTCTTCCATCAGGAGTAAGAAAGGTGGATTATTATCCAAAAGATATGGATTGCATGAATCAAATCTGAGAGTTAAAGTCTTCAACATCTTTCAATATCAAAAATCTTTCACAGAAATGAGGTAAAATTGATATCTATAAAAGGAAATATATTTCTTTAGATTACTACCAAATTCAAACTGATATCTTTAGATCTGTTTAGACAATGCAACAATCTGATCAAAGATGATGGATGAATGGACAAAAAAATGCATAAAATTCTGTATAAAATGGATATATATATATCATGATACCAACAATGTTATCTCTAATAAGTTCACATATATCACAAATCTAAAATTATACCATAAACAACTTGTGTAACAAACTATGGACAAATTCCTCTGGATACATACACCACTGTGTGTGTCTACTTCTAACATCATCTACTGGGAATAATAAGCATGGCTAACAACAATTAAAATCAAAGAACGTGTACAAGCACTACAGTAATTTCTATCAAGCACCAAACACATATCATAAATTAAAATTTCAGAACAAAAATCTAACTGCTTGTAAACAATATTCTAGATTTCAATATGAATGTTTAAGGGGTTCACATTTTACTGCATGTACAAAATGTATACTACATCAACATATTATCAAATAAGCTTAAGTACTCAATACCTAACTGGTACATTTTCAGCAACCCTGAAATTGTCTAAAGAAAACCAGGAAAACCATGGTGAAAAGTAGCAAATTATAACTTGAATAGTCAATGAGACTGTAATAATGTTTTTTCAGTAACTAAACATTAACTCAATTCTCAATCTTTTTCAAAATAAACAAGAAATCACACCAAACAGAATAGTGATTTGAATTCTGCAATCATAAACAAATCATAAAATATGAATTGAAAGAGCCTCTTTCAAAACACATTTCTTTCCTTCTTAATAAATCTTTTATAAAATATGGCACATTTTCTCTATAGCAATAACAAAATCTAAACAACTGCAACAATCACAAAAAAAAAAAAAATGGCTGCATTCGTGTTACACAGTTGAAATGGTTAACAATGCTCCTGGAAATATGCGAGTGCACTGACCCTACATTTTATACTGAAATTCTGAAAACTAAGGACATTCAGCAAGTTAGTTTCGGACAAGTACAACTGGACTCCTCAAACTGCACATGCCAAATATTCCGCAGTCTAGCCTCAGTCCTGATCTGTACCTTGCATTTTTCTTGCAGGTTTAACCAGTCCAACCATTTCAACTGCTTACGTGAAAGTGCCCCAAGTTCTTTTCAAATCTGAGTTTATCCAATTACATCTTTTTTCAAGTCTATCTTTCCTGTGTAATTTAAAACCAACTCAAATGTTTCTTTCCCTATTGCACTTAAAAGAGTTATTGCAGCTATTGTCAAATTATTTCTGGACAATGCAATCTTCCAAGTACCATATTTTAATCTATTCAATTACTGTGACAGAATCAACTGTTATTTATCATGAGCCCCCACTTATTTCTTTAAAGTATCAGAGCTAATTGCACAATGTCAAAGCAATGGACATTTTCAAAGAAAAGATGACAATGCTTTTTTATCCTTTTGATAGAAATTCACACATTAAGGGTAATTTCATAGATGATGAGTATGTATTCTATGGATTTATAACCACTTCATAGGTGCAATACATATACTATCAGGTAATATTTACATCAAAAGAATGTAACCATATTGAAATATGATATAATCAGACAGAATGTCGTTTAAGATCCTGTCACAATCTGTCATATTTAGGTGTCCATATAAACATGCAATAACCAAACATCAATATGTTAATTTCTATCAAGAAGGCTTGCCTGATTTTGAAGTGAAACAAACCATCAATGGATTAAATGAGATGAATTTCCTAGAATATAGTACTAACTTGTTAGGATACCGTATCGACAAACCTACAACATTTTTTGTGTTATTGAAATCCTAAAAATATCTTTGAGATACAAATTACCTAAAAATTTCACTTCAGATAATTCCACATTAAGAACCTTATAAAATGTCAGCATTTAAATATATATTTTTAATTCAAAATATTTAATTTTCAGGTTCTCAAAGACAAATGGAATATGGGCAATGGGCATACCCTACAAACTCTCTCCATACAAGTAAAGAGACACATCAATCAAATGATCAGTAAATTATAGAATGATGTCAAATAACACTAAAACTGGAAGCATCTATATATAAAAGAGGGAGGTAACTCTGAAATGCAGACTAAAAATATATGGTTTATAAAGCAAGAACTCTAGCATTATGACAAGTGTATATAACATTGTATGATGTTTCTCGCAATCATTAACACAAGATCCCAGACAGATCGTGTTGCCCACCATCACTGATCTTCATTGGTTTATGTTGATTTATTTAGATTACTCCCGATTATCTGTTGTATTGACAGGTAAATGAATCATATAGTACTATGATCCAACAACGGAAACAAGTAGTTCTTCAGAGCTAATCAGCCTTAAAATTTACATGGAATAAAGGACCAAGGAGAATGAAATTTGAGAAGACACATCTCGTACTTCTTAAAAATGATGAAAAAAAACCTTAACTGTCAAAACTTGATAAAGGTGGCTGTTGTTTTTTTTTTTTTTGTTTTCTTGACCTATATTGCTGTTGAAAAGACACAATAGCAGACCAACAGGAACATAATTATCAAATTGAGAAAGTTCAAGAAACGTTTATAACAGTAACTGTTACAAGGCTGTGGGTTAGCAGATGGACTAATAACAGACAAAAGGTGATTTGAATAACCTGTCATCAGAAGATAGTGGACTAAAAATATGGTAGACAAAATCAAATTTTTTTCATCAGCGGACATAGATTTCATGAAAGCAATACAATTTTTCTTATACACAATATCAAATATCAAACAAATCAGCATCAATTCATTGGTAAAAATAAACAAAACTTAATAATCTTCGTAAATTAAAGGAAAATATTCATGATTAGTATGATGACCATAAATGCATTATTGATAATCTAAGGTGTCGGTCTTGAAAAAGTTAAACAAATAGATTGCACAAGACTATATTGTACTTCTCTACCCCTTATTTATCAAACGATTCTCCAATTACAACCTTACAATACAACAGGAAAGGTGACAATTATGCATAATGTTTTTAAAAACTTATCCACATATGAAAAAAATACACAAACTATTCTTTAAGAGTGTGCGTCACATCCAGTCCAAAAATTATTGAAAACTTGTACACATAAAAGAAGGACATTAAAATACCTACTAGGTAAATAAAAGTGTGACATAAAACAAACCTCAAAATGACTCTATACTTTGGAAATTATTTTTTGGCCCTGTCAGTGCACAAAACGACAACTTGTACCAACAAAATGAATGACCATTGCAAAATCATTGCTACAACATATATAGATGCTCTGATGTCTGAAAAGACATCGCACTGATGTTGTGAAGGAACAGAAATTTATCCCACAATCATACAAGTTTTATTTATACACTTGAGATAAAGAAATCTTTGCAAATATATTACGAAGATTTTACTATAACACTCAGAGGAACGTGTACTAGTCTGTGAATGTGTTAAACATGCCTGACAAATCACTAAACTCTGGTCCTCCCTGTTGATCAAGCATTCGAAACATATCACTGAATTCTTCATTTTGAGGCTGTTGCTGCTGAGGGTTGGTAGCTTGAGTCTGGCTGGGTGGAGCTTGCCCCTGTCCTTGAGTGGGTCCCTGTGGTCCTGTCTGTGGCTGAGTTTGGGTGGCATCCCCAGCTCCAGCCTGCCAATGTGAAGGAGGCCACATGCCTGTGCCTGCAGCACCTGCGGGGGAGGAGTGGGTGAAACTGTTGGACTGTGAGTTAGGGACACCTCCCTGAGATCCTCCACCCAGCTGTGTGTAGGTAGGTCCACCAGCTGTTAATAAAACAATATTTAAGATGGAACAATATACTAATATAATGTATACTTTTTAACATGAATAATCACAGTTAGAGACAATACAGACGGATTCTGAGGAGAGACAACAGGCTAAGTGCTATCACTAAAGCTATGGCATTCTATAAGCTCATGATCTTTTAGGCCAAGTGATCAGCTAATTGGAAGAGGAGAACACAGGATATACACTTTACCTGATATTTATTTTTCTTATTCTCGTTGTTCCTGCCAACTAAATCCACAAGAAATTTAAACAGAAAATTTCTCAAAGTATTGTTAACCTTAGAAAGGAACAGGAGACAACAGCATGTTTTAATGTTTCATAATAATTGAGTCTGGGAGAAGCACCATGTAAGTACAAACCTGGAGATGAACTGTTAGGACTGATCTGTGAGTAGCCTGCTGCTGGATTTCCCCCAAAGTCAGTTCCACCCTGTAACACAACAAATACACCAATAAACATAGATAGCATAGACAATTAGTAGGACAGGGACACAAGTCCCTTATACAGAGAAGGACAATACATCAAAACAATATATAGGGTCTCCTTAACGAAGAAGGACAAGATATCAAACAATAAGTAAGAAAGAGGCACAAGATATATTATGATTAGTACAAACAAGGACATAAGTAACAGTGAAGTTCAATATCTCATAAACAATTAGCAGGACAGGGACATAAATCCAACATATACACAAATAAAATATAAAAGAACGACAATATATTATGATTAGTACATAGGACAAGGACATAAGTCCCTGATACAGTGAAGTTCAATATCTCATAAACAATTAGCAGGACAGGGACATAAATCCAACATATACAGAGGACAATATAAAATATAAAAGTAGGACAGGGACATGAGTCCCCTATACAGAAAACAATATACCATAGTAAGTTGGACAGGGACATAAGTCCCCTATACAGAGGACAATATACCAAAGTAAGTTGGACAGGGACATGAGTCCCCTATACAAAGGACAATATATCATAGTAAGTAGGACAGGACATGAGTCCCCTATACAGAAAACAATATATCATAGTAAGTAGGACAGGACATGAGTCCCCTATACAAAGGACAATATATCATAGTAAGTAGGACAGGACATGAGTCCCCTATACAGAGGACAATATACCATAGTAAGTAGGACAGGGACATGAGTCCCCTATACAGAGGACAATATACCATAGTAAGTAGGACAGAGACATGAGTCCCCTATACAAAGGACAATATACCATAGTAAGTAGGACAGAGACATGAGTCCCCTATACAGAGGACAATATACCATAGTAAGTAGGACAGGGACATGAGTCCCCTATACAGAGGACAATAAATCATACACTTCTATACATTTAACTTAATAACAGGCCAAAGGGGAAATGAATCTCGACAACTTGAATCAAATTAACCGAAAAATTATTGAAGTTTTAAGTTAGGACAGATCAGCGTATTTGTGAAACTGAATGTTTTAGGTGGCCATCTATTAAATGATATTCAATAAAACATTAATGTAAAAATAAGAATTTTTTTTTTTTTTTTGTGGTGGTGGTGGTGGTGGTGGTGGGGGGGGGTTGCAACAACAAAGTTCATTTTCTTGGAGTCAAAAGGAATCACAAGGGAACAGATTTTGTGTTACTTATTACCAAGGTGCTTGCTTATAAATCTGTCAAATCAACCATTGAAGTTGTTTTTTAAAATACACTACAATTCTTTCATTATCTAAATGATTTCATTTTGATCATTTGTATACTTGGTTTCTGACCTTTACTGGCCCCTATGTATCTAAAGCTATGCTGGACTACTTGAAATGTACTAGAAACCTCCATGGGATTATTGTAGCCACCATGGGAAGGCCAGCATCCTGAAGGGTTTGGACAGTATTTCACTTTTCAGATATACTCACCTGTGTTTGATTGAAGCCCCCTTGGGAAGGCCAGCTTCCTCAAGGGTTAGGACAGTATCTTACTTTTCAGATATACTCACCTGTGTTTGATTGAAGCCCCCTTGGGAAGGCCAGCTTCCTGAAGGGTTTGGGCTACGTCTGACCCCTGATCCCTGAGTCTGCTGGGATATCGGCATACTTGCAGCTACACTCTGGGAGGGGTACTGCTTCATCTGCTGGTTGGGGGAGTTGTATGTGGAATACATATCCTGTCTACCAACCTGTCGACTGCCAGCTTCAACAACAGATCATCAAAGTCAAATCTGAGCATGAAAAAATTAAACCTGTGCCGGGAATCAAGAGTTACCTCCCTCCCACAAATGAAAATATTATTTAATAATTGTATAACTATCTGAAAATTATAGGTTTAAAATTCTTGTATGGCGATAGTAAATTGGTATACGACACAAATTAATGAGAGAAAATATCCAAATTTTACATCTGAGAGGAAATGTTTTGAAAAGCTGTATGTTGGAGAAGACATAAAATTCTTATGGAAACAGCTTTAATAATAGCACACTTCACTTTTTGGTTGCTGAGCCTTAGGAATAATGCAAATCATGACCGAGCTGATTGAAAAAAAATTGCTGTTTGGAAGATGAAAAATGATTTTTCACTGGAAACAAGATGCACTTCTTGTTGATAGCTTTGGAAGTAAATAGGTAGGGTAGGGTGTTGTAGGTGGTTAACATGTTGCATGTACTATCTAACTCACATTCATAGTCTGGCTATTTAGTAGGCATTATGTTGATAGAATCGGAGGCACGTTAGCAGGGCGAAGTGTTGTATGTGATTGACTGGTTAGATGTAATACCTACCTCCCATGACAGTGTTGTAGTTGTATGATTCATAGTCTGGCTGTTTGGTAGGCATATTGTTGATAGTTTCCGAGGCCAGTGGGCGGGGTGGAGTGTTGTATGTGATTGACTGGTTGGTATCTGCCACCTGTTCTTGGGGTGTGTTCAGACTGGGGGCAGGTCCAGCACTCGAAGCGCCTTGCTGCACACTTCTAGTAATAAAACAGTTCAAACAAACTATACTAACAGCCTTTCTTGGAAATTCTTTTCTAATTCTATATAGTTTTATAGCTTCTTCAAGCTTCAAAATTTGTGTCTGTGCAAAATTAATTCTTGTTGAATGAAAAATTTACTCTCAATTCATCATGCCAATTTTTTTTTTTGAAAGTACATGAAGCTTTTCAGTGATACTCTACACAAGGTACTTACTTGGCTGATGTGTTTGTACAAACAATATATTCCACCTCGTCTGTGTAGGGGTTCTGAAAGCTGAAACTGCTTGTCCTTAACCATACCCAGTCATGATTGGAGCCCCTAAATCTGTACATGATAGACATGACCTGTCCCTTCAACTTCAGCACTGCAATCAAAATCATCACATAGGCAATAAACATGGGATCATTCAACTTCTGCAATAGATATGACCTGGAAACTTTGAATTGTTATCTGGTTTAGGACCATATTTTACCAGAGAAGAAAGTACATATGATTCAGATATATAATAAACCATCTGAGAAGTAAATCTATGTAGTAAACCTCTGATTAGAAAAATCTATTTTCTGTTAGATTTCTCCGCTTGTTCTGAGGTGAAAATAAAAACCTGTTTCTTTACATCTGACCAGTTCATTGAGAAAAATAAATATAAGGCAAACTTCTGTTTTACAAAAGTGCATGTACATTAGCTACTAGCATTACCTTGTTCAAATGTGTCCTTCATATGACCCTTATCCTCTGGATGGTAAAAATCAAAAGCAGACTTTCCCAGGAGGTCCTGTGGCTGGTAACCTAATACCGCTGTTACTCTGTAAACATACAGAAGAAAGCAATATAAACTCAGTTGCTTTCTAATCAAAATACCATCAATTATGATCAAAGAGGAAACAACTGCGACAGTTGAAAGGTTATCTATTGTATTGACCTGAGATTCCAGCCTGTCAGAAAGTTTGTACATTTCCTTCAGGCTGTGATGTCATTGACCAGCAACCAAAGTGTATATAAACAGTAATGTTGCTCTTTGAAGCAAGAAATTTAATTTAATACACAGCATGGCAAATCTTTAAAATTGGGAATATTTGAGATATTGTATATTTGAGAATCTATCAAACAATTTTCTATTAAATTCACTGTGACCTATTTCAAAACCTACCTTTGATCAACAAATGTGAATTTTCCCTCAATACTATGACGAGATATGAATTCTGTTGCTGCATTTGGTCCCATAAGATCATTACAGTTGGGTGTACTGGTCACTTGGAGGCGACCAATGGCCACCAGGCAACAGTGACCACCACCATTCTCATCTGTGTCACGGTCAATCTGTACACCTGAAAATTTACATATTTAATCACATTAATTGTTTAGTAATCATTTTGTACACAGTACAACCTACATGCAAACAGTATAAATAACTGCAAATTAATTTACCTGTGAAATGAGTTTCAAGATTTAAAACCTTCCTCAATTTTTTCATAGTTTCAAAACTTTCATAAAAAGGTTAAAAGTCAAAAACATAAAAAATGACAAAAATTTCACCATCAAATGATCAGTTCTTATTCATTACACCATAATGATAAGATATAGCTCATATTTGTTTTGGATGCAGATAAGTGCTTCATAAATGTTCGATTTCAAGAATAAATAAATGCTATTTACCTGATGGAGGCCAGTTTTTTATGTAGCCTGTCACATGTACAACAGTGTAGTGATTTCCGTCGAGTGAAGGCCCCAACGTGTTTCTCTGGCGAATACGTATGGAATGGTTGGCTGTCATTGGATCCACTTGTACGTTACCCATCTTCATACGACATATAAACCCTCGTCGGGATCCCATACATAACCTGATAGAGGCTGCAATGGTGAGGATGTCATCAGAAATACCCAAAGATATATTTCTCCTGATAATGTAGGGGATATTCTATGACCATTAAATTTAATTCTGTTCCCTTCCTTTTATTTATTAAGAGTGTTAAATTTTGTTTTTATCTATACAACACAGTAAAAAATTCATTTGAAATGTTACATTTGAGTATGATAAATAAAAGGACATACAACCAACTGGGAGAGTCAGAACAAAGGATTTTTCTCTCTACTCTATTTCTCTATCCAAAGGATTTTTTCTCTCTATGCTATTCCTCTGTCAAAAGGATTTTTTTTACTCTTTAAAGTGGTTGGTAGTTTACCAGAAAATTCTTTTTTACTAGGTTTACCACTCCCCTCCCCCTACTTCCCCACCTACATCCCCTGTCGCATGTTATCCAGATCAATATGGGTAAAGCATTGTCTTGCCCTTGGACAAAACCAGCTTCCACGAAATACAAAACACAACATGTATGGAGTGTCAAACCACACACCTCAGATCTTCACTTGAGGTCTTCCAAGGTCCAACAATCTATTGACTAAGCTATTTTAGCCCATTAGGGTTAAGTTAGGTCAGGTGTCAAACCACACACCTCAGATCTTCACTTGAGGTCTTACAAGGTCCAACAATCTATTGATTAAGCTATTTTAGCTCATTAGGGTTAAGTTAGGTCAGGTGTCAAACCACACACCTCAGATCTTCACTTGAGGTCTTCCAAGGTCCAACAATCTATTGACTAATCTACTGCAGCCTATTAGGGTTAAGTTAGGTCAGGTAACTTGTAATGTACATGTCTATGTACATAGACAGAAGCAGAATGTTGTTAGAGATAGCGTGAAGAGAAAACTTACTCTGGTGGCTGTCTTTTTTTACTGTTCCAGCTGCAAGACACAAATACAAATTACATAGAAAAGTTTGGTTATCCAGCAATATATAAATAATTACAGAATATTACTTCAACTAAATGATTATCTTTATACCTACAATGAAATGCAATTTCTTTATACTCTGACAGGATATATAAGATATGTAGGTTGGTTTATTTTGTACTTATCTATAAATACTACCAAAAAAGCAATAACATGTTTTAGAATACATTATGCTAAATAGAGACATATTGCCAATTTTCACCTAAATCCAGATTGATCAATTTCTGAAACCTCAAAATGATGTAGAAATCATGAGATGAAATACTAGGACTGATAACTGTAAAATGACTTACTTTTGAGGTCAAGGATGCGACCTGTGTTTTGAGATTCTGTTGTGGACAATTGTTCCCGTACTTTCTCCTGGTCGTCAGGATGGACTAGCTCATATAAGGTGTTCCCAAACCATTCCGTCTGTAACCACAATAATTAGATAATTTTCAAAGAATAAGTTTGTTGGCTGAGTGTATCACCCTTTGAACAGCCAGTGTCTCCTTGTAGTAGCTGGTGAGTGCCTCACTGAGAAACATACCTGAGCCTGTCACATGATATCAAGACCAATAGAGTAAAGTGTTGTGGCATGGAGTGTTGACCTACAGACCTCAGATCTTCATCTGAGGTTATGAAGGCCAATGATCTAACCAACTTGGATATCTTAATGTATGAGTGATTAAGCATGAGTGATTTTCATAGTCTAGGATGAAAAATTACAACCAATATTTTATCTTAATGAAGTTATGCAGTAACAAACATACAAATTAATACAACTGTTCTATTTAGCAGTAACAAACATACAAATTAATACAACTGTTCTATTTAGCAGTAACAAACATACAAATTAATACAACTGTTCTATTTAGCAGTAACAAACATACAAATTAATACAACTGTTCTATTTAGCAGTAACAAACATACAAATTAATACAACTGTTCTATTTAGCAGTAACAAACATACAAATTAATACAACTGTTCTATTTAGCAGTAACAAACATACAAATTAATACAACTGTTCTATTTAGCAGTAACAAACATACAAATTAATACAACTGTTCTATTTAGCAGTAACAAACATACAAATTAATACAACTGTTCTATTTAGCAGTAACAAACATACAAATTAATACAACTGTTCTATTTAGCAGTAACAAACATACAAATTAATACAACTGTTCTATTTAGCAGTAACAAACATACAAATTAATACAACTGTTCTATTTAGCAGTAACAAACATACAAATTAATACAACTGTTCTATTTAGCAGTAACAAACATACAAATTAATACAACTGTTCTATTTAGCAGTAACAAACATACAAATTAATACAACTGTTCTATGTAGCAGTAACAAACATACAACTGTTCTATTAATACAACTGTTCTATTTAGCAGTAACAAACATACAAATTAATACAACTGTTCTATTTAGCAGTAACAAACATACAAATTAATACAACTGTTCTATTTAGCAGTAACAAACATACAAATTAATACAACTGTTCTATTTAGCAGTAACAAACATACAAATTAATACAACTGTTCTATTTAGCAGTAACAAACATACAAATTAATACAACTGTTCTATTTAGCAGTAACAAACATACAAATTAATACAACTGTTCTATTTAGCAGTAACAAACATACAAATTAATACAACTGTTCTATGTAGCAGTAACAAACATACAAATTAATACAACTGTTCTATTTAGCTCTTTGATTAAGATTATGATTTCATGTCTTCTGTATATATAGCTTATGGATAAGTTCTATTGAAATTTTTACTTCATTAGCAATGACATAAAATCTACATTATATACCACATATTGTAAGTAACAAACCCTGCCTGTACCTGCAACTAAATGAATATAAAACAGAAAATTTGACTCAAGATTATAACTGTAATGATATTTTGGGATTAGGGAGTGTTGGAGATTAAAATGAGTGTAAATACTTTAGAACATGTCAAAAATACTGTACCAGTGACTGGTGGAATACCGATGAGGTAGAGTCTGACACAAATATTATCCAAGTAAGATGTAAATGTGAGCATGTGTTAAATCCCTGAGGACAAATCTATACCTGTGAAAAGTGGGGTACCAGTGTGAAAGTCTGATACATGAATCATTTGTCCATGTAAAATATTAATATGAGTATATGTTAAATTCTTCAGAACATGTTAAAAGTACTGTACCTGTGATTGGTGGAGCACTGGTGTGATAGAGTCTGACACATATATGATCCGTCCAGAATCACACTGAACCACAAACAGGAAACCATCTGCTGCCTTAAAAACACAAAGACAAAACATTTCTATATCTGTTTTTCTCTTATGTTGAAAGTTTCCATTACCTGATTATTCTTTTGGTACTTTTAATCTTAACAAGACATGAAACTGATGCCAGTTTCCCTGGGATTACTTCCCAGTATGCAGTTATCTAAATGCACAATAAGGTTGGCAAAATTGCATTGTTTTCATTTTTCTGAAATAAGTACAACTTAGGTGTTGAACAAAATCTAATTTATAAAAAGTTTGTAAGAAATGACTAACAACTTCACATATACATTCCAAAATGGCTAATTTGTAGCTGGTTTGATATTGCACAACTATCGACAGAGAATATTGAATTTCATCATGAATATGTAATCAGAATCGGAGAAATTATCAACAGAATTTCTGACCAGCAGGTAGCTATGGAACATAACATTTGGTCACAGAACAAGTCATAGTGTCTAAAGACTAGGAAATATCTGTAAAACATAAAAATGACCCCTCTGTATATAAGTATAATTGTTTGATGAAGTTGCAGTAAGCCTTTGACCCATTAACCTTGACCGATAACCGCCTTAATAATATAAAGTGTAGAACTAAATATTATATCTACTATTGGGTAAATATGAATCAACTGTTGAGATGTTCTCTAGATATAACATTGATCTGGAACAGGACATGCCCTACCACTCCCAGATACAAGATACAAGACACTTTACTTTACGTCCCATGTGTAACAAAGAAAAAACCTCAAATGACAAGAGTATAAAATTGTTCAGCTTTGTTGCATTGGTCTACACATAGACTTACCTCTAGTATTAGGTGTTTGAGTTCCTGGTCAGTAAGGAAAGAAGGTTTGTAGGAACCATCAGAATTGGTGTTTCCCGTTCCTTGGAAAGTAAAACATATATTAAAGGATTTACACATACTTGTATTTGTAGAGAAAGTAAAATAGTCTCAGCCAAACAAAAATTGAACACAGACCCTTCAATGGAGAACAAAAGATTTCAGATTCTCTACTTCATATGATGGAGTGAAAGTACAATAGTGGTAGATAAAACTGAAGTTAAAATCGCTTTCTAATTGTAGGTCATTAAAAATCAATCATAAATATAAAAACTGGCAATTTAAAATGAATGGTTTTCATATAATCCAGACTAATAAGTGGAGAGGACATTGGAAATGTCCTTAATTTCATAAATCCAAAATTTCCTCATCAAGGATTACATGGTCAAAAGATTCTTATATGGAGGCACTACCTAAACAGAGATATAAGACTAATTGTATATATTCAGGATGGGGTCGTTAGGAGTGCACAGCTATCCAGATAAAGAGTACGGTTTTGTTATCTACAAACAATGCTCTGTAGTGATAGAGTTGTGCTGTGCAAAATCTACCAAAAACTGTTTCAGCTTTGACCCCAGTTTCCACTGGAACCCACATTACCTATACTAGTACCTCGAAGCGTTTTCATATGGGACACTGCCATTCTAAGTATAGTTAGTTTATCAGGCTTCCTGGCCAGAGTGCTACAAGTGGGAACCATGTCACAAAGCTCGTTTATATAGGTTGTCATCTTGTTTCTTCTGCGTCTCTCAATTTCACAGTGGCTCTCCCTGTAATACACAGAATAACTCAACCAATGTATACAGTTGGACTCATATTTATTCAAAATCTCTAATTCCTTTTTAAAGAAGCTTCCTACTATCCATGCCTTTATTACTACAGGCCAAAATTGAAGTCAAACATTGAGCCAACCTAGAGTGGAGAAAAGTGGCAGATAGGCGAGTCCCAGTGTCCTTTGCTTGGATAGCTGAGAGTATGCAGGGCAATTAGATAGTTTGAATACAAATAATATACTATAACCCTAATGGAAAGAATGATTATGATTGAAGTTCCATGTTTTAAATTTATCAAAATTTTGAACATTGTCAATAAAGAGTTATTGGGTATTGGAACAATATCCTATTGTATGATGCCCATGTACATACTCATCCATAATTTTACAATATCATGTGTAAAAATTGTGGTCTAATTGTCCTGATGAAGCCCAATATTCAGGACGAAACCAGTAAACCTAGCTAATAAACATGAGAATACCAGTCCCTAGTTTGCTGCGATTGATAGCATAAGTTACAATTACAGGTACTATACTTTTTAATGCCAAATGAACTAGATCAAATAATTGAGAGGAAATTATGGCAACATGACCTTTACCTAAGTGTCTTTTTAAAGTCACATAAATTAAATATCTATTTGGTTAAGACTTATACATAAAGATGTGACCTACATATCGCTAACCCAGTAGACAAATTTAAATTCATACACTGTAACTAACATTTCTAGTATGTCATGACCATGCTGGAAACATTAAAAACAGTTCGCATGGTCTTTTGTGCTACCAAGGGACCATTATCTTGAAACAGCCATGAAGAAGAATGTTTTCCTACTCAAAGGGAGTACTTTCATTAAACTTTACTGGCATAAACAAGACTCATTTATATAAATAATTACAACATTCAAACATTGTTATGACTCATTGGGTATTTCATTTGCCAATGAAACAGAACAGTTTAAATTGTCTTATCCACTGACCCACAATTTAACAAAAAGCAGACAGAAATTATTAACTTGTGTTAAATAGGGCATTGGGTAATACAAATTCTTATTTCTATATTCACTGACGATAAGTTTAAAAGGTGTAAACACATGTAATGTCTACTTCTGGTTTTTCATTGATGCAAATTTAATCAATGTGGCTTTTAAAGTTACACCCATATATGTGTAATAGGATTTCTCTTAATGAGAACCTCAGCTGTATCACTGTAGAAAACTGGTCAGAATCTATGTTGACCTTACAGTAATTATCTATTTATGAACCAAAATTTTCTTAAGTTCTGTGGACAGATAAATAGATGACCCTGGTTACAGCTTACAACCTGGCAAACCGCTCCTTGTCCACTTGGTCTTGGGTAAAGGACCCGCCCTGTTGACTGTCATCATCGTCTGATCTGAAGGTAGACAATGAACATCACATGCATTGTAGTTTAAGAAGAACATTGCTGGATTTAAACAAAGAATTATGACAAATATGACAGAAGACTTCAAAATAAACATGAGTAAAAATTGAACAGAAAAATAAGTGTTATATGTTTGGAGAACAGATACCAAATTTATAATCATTAGTTTTTCATAAAGGTCATAGTTATTGTAAATTCAAAAATTGGTTTCTTATTTCCAACCTTTAAAATTTTGACTTGCACAGTAATCCAAAGCTAACGCTAATGACTATGATGAGTTCATTTATAAGGTAATTCCAGTGATCATTCAGGTAACCCTGTTCTGAAGACAACACCATGAACTCTGATTAAATTGAATTGAATTAAGAACATATTTTAATTCTGAGGCAACATATAAAAACTATATTTTATTTCTCATTCTATTTAGTATATTTATTGTCTTTCAGTGTATTATTTAGAAATAAAACATTTGCAGTAAATACAGGAAAATTTAATTGTAACAGGTTTTATACAAAGCATCAGTATATTTCTTTTTACATTTTGTCAAAGTAGAGCCATATCGTGATATCATGTTTGTACACCATGAGGAAAATGTACATTTTAGTTGATGCCTTCCTGAACTATTAGTATTCTGTACCAGACATTTTTTTGTATTAAACTCTCTCTAGCATTGACCTCAAACATGAAATTTAACTATCTTCATGTCATCTAACTCAGCCTAGCGACTTGAAACAGTTAAACTGTGTTACTTTTATATTTCATGTATTATTCCCTAAACAGTGATCATGTTTCCATTGTTGGGTCTAGACACACACTTTCTCTCTTTTACTTTTTATCTATTCATGTACTGTTATCTGAGTTACCCTTAATAAATCTTATCTGTTGACTTTCAATTGTGTATCTCATATTCATGTTTGTATCACAATGATGGTACCGTATTCAACCTCTAAGACAAGGTGCCTAGTTGTAAATGTCCACTCTGTAGTAATGGTACCGTATTTAACCTCTAAGACAAGGTGCCTAGTGGTAAATGTCCACTCTGTAGTAATTGTACCGTATTTAACCTCTAAGACAAGGTGCCTAGTGGTAAATGTCCACGCTGTAGTAATGGTACCGTATTTAACCTCTAAGACAAGGTGCCTAGTGGTAAATGTCCACTCTGTAGTAATGGTACCGTATTTAACCTCTAAGACAAGGTGCCTAGTGGTAAATGTCCACGCTGTAGTAATGGCTGTAGTAATGGTACCGTATTTAACCTCTAAGACAAGGTGCCTAGTGGTAAATGTCCACTCTGTAGTAATGGTACCGTATTTAACCTCTAAGACAAGGTGCCTAGTGGTAAATGTCCATGCTGTAGTAATGGTACCGTATTTAACCTCTAAGACAAGGTGCCTAGTGGTAAATGTCCACGCTGTAGTAATGGTACCGTATTTAACCTCTAAGACAAGGTGCCTGGTGGTAAATGCCCACACTGTAGTTATGGTACCGTATTTAACCTCTAACACAAGGTGCCTAGTGATATTGTCCACACTGTATTTATGGTGCTGTATTTAACATTAGGTTAAACAAAAGGAAAATGGTGGTAAATGTCTATTTCTTTACACACTTTTGCATTTTGATATTTTTCTTCACCACAATACAGGAATTTTCACTCACCTACTGATTAGAAATTTGGACGTTTGACATAAAAGCAGTTAAACATGATTTTGATACAAAAAAGTTTATATTACCAGCCATTACCTACATAGAATTATATATAAAACACTACCAGTTAACATGTAAGAGTAACAGATGTATCTACCATTACAGTTTTTATGTAACACATGCTAACAAAGGCCATCTACATGACTTTTATTGTTTGTTAATGCATGTACTGCTACACCCACTGGCAAAGGCTGACTGACTCCTAGACAGACTCTGCATGTTTCTGCTACTGCCATAAAAGATAACCTTGACATGAAGGAGGTATATCAGGCCAACATTTTATTCCTATATTGTCTGCTATATTCAATTATCTGCATCTAGATTTTAGTCATGGAGACTGCATAATAATAATGATCATTTTTTCATCCCCATATCAGATATGTGTACTTGACTGGAAACAGATCAGTTTATAGAAATTAAAGAATCTGATTAATATTTTATATACATATTACCTGTAACTGTTAAATATTTTGGAAACTAGCATTGTAAATGAATATTTCTAACCAACATTAGTTTAGTCATTAATATCAACTAAACTGATATACATATCAAAATTAACAGTTTTCTTTCTGAAGCTGCTTTCTATAAAAACACCCTAATATTTAAAAATTTTCTTGAATGTCATTCATCCCAATTTCAATAAAAAAACTTTAATATTCCTTAAAACAGACTCTTTTGTTTAAAATTTTTTGCTGAGTGAGGGTTTGTCAAATATAGAAATGCACAAAGAATTTAAAAGTAAACAAGTTAAGACTCTGTAGGTAAAGGTGGTCTTACTGTGGAAAAGAAACGTAAATATCTGTAGAAAACCCATGTGGTCAGACAGAGGATCCTGACCCCTACCTTGTCACACCAAAACAGTGAATCATTTAGTGAAAGGCAGACAAATGCATTACCACTGTTATACAATATTCCACAATAGCATTTACATCATATACTATCTGTTATACAATATTCCACAGTAACATTTAACATCAGACACTATCTGTGATACAATATTCCACAGTAACATTTACATCAGATACTATCTGTGTTACAATATTCCACAGTAACATTTACATCAGATACTATCTGTGATACAATATTCCACAGTAACATTTACATCAGATACTATCTGTGTATTTACATCATACTATCTGTGATACACCACAGTAACATTTACATCAGATACTATCTGTGATACAATTTTCCACAGTAACATTTACATCAGATACTATCTGTGATACAATATTCCATAGTAACATTTACATCAGTTACTATCTGTGATACAATATTCCACAGTAACATTTACATCAGATACTATCTGTGATACAATATTCCACAGTGACATTTACATCAGATACTATCTGTGATACAATATTCCACAGTGACATTTACATCAGATACTATCTGTGATACAATATTCCACAGTAACATTTACATCAGATACTATCTGTGATACAATATTCCACAGTAACATTTACATCAGATACTATCTGTGATACAATATTCCACAGTAACATTTACATCAGATACTATCTGTTATACAATATTCCACAGTAACATTTACATCAGATACTATCTGTTATACAATATTCCACAGTAACATTTACATCAGATACTATCTGTTATACAATATTCCACAGTAACATTTACATCAGATACTATCTGTGATACAATATTCCACAGTAACATTTACATCAGCTACTATCTGTGATACAATATTCCACAGTAACATTTACATCAGATACTATCTGTGATACAATATTCCACAGTAACATTTACATCAGATACTATCTGTGATACAATATTCCACAGTAACATTTACATCAGATACTATCTGTGATACAATATTCCACAGTAACATTTACATCAGATACTATCTGTGATACAATATTCCACAGTAACATTTACATCAGATACTATCTGTTATACAATATTCCACAGTAACATTTACATCAGATACTATCTGTGATACAATATTCCACAGTAACATTTACATCAGATACTATCTGTTATACAATATTCCACAGTAACATTTACATCAGATACTATCTGTTATACAATATTCCACAGTAACATTTACATCAGATACTATCTGTTATACAATATTCCACAGTAACATTTACATCAGATACTATCTGTGATACAATATTCCACAGTAACATTTACATCAGATACTATCTGTGATACAATATTCCACAGTAACATTTACATCAGATACTATCTGTTATACAATATTCCACAGTAACATTTACATCAGATACTATCTGTGATACAATATTCCACAGTAACATTTACATCAGATACTATCTGTGATACAATATTCCACAGTAACATTTACATCAGATACTATCTGTTATACAATATTCCACAGTAACATTTACATCGGATACTATCTGTTATACAATATTCCACAGTAACATTTACATCAGATACTATCTGTGATACAATATTCCACAGTAACATTTACATCAGCTACTATCTGTTATACAATATTCCACAGTAACATTTACATCAGATACTATCTGTTATACAATATTCCACAGTAACATTTACATCAGATACTATCTGTTATACAATATTCCACAGTAATCTGTTATACAATATTCCACAGTAACATTTACATCAGATACTATCTGTTATACAATATTCCACAGTAACATTTACATCAGATACTATCTGTTATACAATATTCCACAGTAACATTTACATCAGATACTATCTGTTATACAATATTCCACAGTAACATTTACATCAGATACTATCTGTTATACAATATTCCACAGTAACATTTACATCAGATACTATCTGTGATACAATATTCCACAGTAACATTTACATCAGATACTATCTGTTATACAATATTCCACAGTAACATTTACATCAGATACTATCTGTTATACAATATTCCACAGTAACATTTACATCAGATACTATCTGTTATACAATATTCCACAGTAACATTTACATCAGATACTATCTGTTATACAATATTCCACAGTAACATTTACATCAGATACTATCTGTTATACAATATTCCACAGTAACATTTACATCAGATACTATCTGTTATACAATATTCCACAGTAACATTTACATCAGATACTATCTGTGATACAATATATCACAAAAACATTAAGCTCAGGTGTTACATGTTATATAATATTTCAGGAAAAACGTTAAGCTCAGGTGTTACATATTATACAATTTCCCTATTTTGAGTGGATAGTTTGGGCAGTGTTAATGCAATCATCATTTATCCAAGCCATATATATATAAGGTATAAAGTCATCTTATTTATGAAATGGGTTTTCCTGGTTACTCCATTTTCCTCCCACAATAAGTCCCCTTTTGCGCTTTAATCTTGACCAAAAAGGGATCAAGTCCCCTTTCACCCTTCAACCTTGGCCAACAAAGGATTAAGTCCCCTTTCACGCTTCAACCTTGGCCAACAAGGGATTAAGTCCCCTTTCACGCTTCAACCTTGGCCAACAAGGGATTAAGTCCCCTTTCACGCTTCAATCTTGACCAAAATGGATCAAGTCCCCTTTCACCCTTCAACCTTGGCCAACAAAGGATTAAGTCCCCTTTCACGCTTCAACCTTGGCCAACAAGGGATTAAGTCCCCTTTCACGCTTCAATCTTGGCCAACAAGGGATTAATGTAATCTTTTACTTTGTTTTGCCATTATTGTAAAATCATATTTTCCTTTATACAATATTCCACAACAGCATGTACACATATACTTACTCTTTTCCTGATGGCCCCTTTCGCTTTCTTTTTGTACTGTCTGGGGTTCCTGTACAAATAAAAGCAAATCACTGTTAGATATATTGGGCTTGAAATCAAAAGTCAAAACTGGATCATTCCAATATTGGAAAACCTATTTAACAATTCATCAATTGTGCTGTAGTCATTGGAATAACCATACTTTGGCAAATCTAAGTATTATCAATACCTAGAACAGCACAACACAACAACTCATTACTTCCTAACTTTCAATACCTTGACATTAATATGATCGTGACCACTAACAGGTATTTCGTTCTGTATTTCCTCCAACATAAAGAAATCCCAGCTGACATTATGATCACTAAAATTTCTTACATTTTCTGTGGAGGAGATCTCATTTTCTTCCTCTAATATAATGTTTCCATCTATTGTATTCACTTGATTTTGTTAATTATGTATGTGATTCATGAATGCAATAACTAGTATGATGCTGATTCTAAATCTATTCAGGAAATTATCTAATGAATTAATATTTGCAAAAAATCTGAATAAGTTGATAGATTACAGTATATCTGATCTATAGGTATTAAAGTCTTGGTTTCAATTTTGCTAAAAGCAAGCTATGTAAATACATATATTCAATACCATATTGCTGGTTATTTTTGTGGGTCAAATTCTTCACAATTTTCATTCAAAATGAAAGAATTAAATATTAACAAACAAATTTAAACAAATTAAAATTTTGTGACCGGAATATACATATTAAGAGGAAATCTAATTTCGCTTCTGATGACAAGTAATAAATACATGACATGGTATTTACCTGTATTAAATGATAATGATTTAGGATTTGAATGCATATATTCTGTATCATGTAACAAATACTCTGTAATGCATACATTTCATCAATTGTATTTGCGATAATATGTTTGGTTTCCTGGCAGAAGTCTTGGTTACAATTTTAGTTTCATATCACAGATAATACTTACATGTGTCTTATTATTTCATGGATCTAATATTTGAGATCATGTTATTCCCTGGTGATATAGCCAAGATATCATCCTCATGAAAATGATGGCTATACAACAATAACAGAGTTGTTATGTTTTACATCTAAATAGTTTCAAATTGCTGTTGTGCATAATGTAGGCAGAATACTGTCATTATCATACCATTAATTCTCTACCTATACATGTAAATATGTACCAGGTATTTTTTGCAATACTAATGTTGTATAACATGAAATATTCATTGTGCACAATAGTTTCTTGTTCAACACACCATAAAAATAAAACACCATGACAGGTGAAAAAATTGAGTCTAGTTTTGTGACATCTATGAAAATTTATGTTTTAAGTTAAGGATCAAGAAAAAATGAAGGTAAACACAAAATATTTCATGTATGACCAATATACATATACCTGGTTACCATGCAATGTAAATTAAAGTGTTCTATTGAACAATAAAATTTAATTCAACCAAGTTCATCTCACTTCTGTTACTGAAGTAAGAGCATATCTTTGTCGAAATACATGTAGTAATATTCATAGGATTTCATGCTGCCCAGTTAAATAATTACAAAACTGAGCTAGGTAGAGCCCCCTGGTCTCCAGTAATCATCTTTCTGACCTCCACGGAATATCTAGGGCAATGCAAGAAACTAGCTGATTAATGACTTTTCATGGAGACAAATAACAAGAGCTATTTGACTTGTTGAAAAGACATAACTAAACAAGTTACAATACATTTCAGATGAAAGTTTAAACAAGAAGGCATCTATCAGACATGGATGTCTTCACTTGACTCATGTCAGTATAATTTTTGCTGAATTCTACAAAGAAGGTTGTCAAATGTCACATTTGACTCATCTTACTCGATGCAGCCATATCAATATGATAGGGTATACTATAGGGTATTTACCAACCAACTCTGTGCAGAGGTTTTAAAGATGTGACACTGATTCAGAACGGGACTCACTTGATGAAGATAACATTAGATTCCTCTTTCTTCATAAAATGGCCAAGGCATAAAAAAAAACAAGTTTATTTCAGGTGCAAGTGACCTACCTGGAAAGTAGGCCAATCCTGAGAGGAACTTGGCCAATGTATAATACACTGATTGTTCATTGATATGTATGTATGTATGTACATTTATGAAATTTATGTAAATTTCTGGCTCTTGGCCTTTTCATCTTGAGAAGAAATTTGAATATTTTCACATATTTGAACTCTTTGATGCTGATGCATGTCATTCATTGTAACAATTAATAAATCTACCAGGGTAATTTCTTGCACATATTTCACACTCTGCAACTATCCCCACAAATCAAAATCATGAAGTTTTCAATAGTCTTCTTCAATAGCAATACTGTCTACATTCCATAAATCACAAAAATGAGTATATAAATGGTTTATTGGAAATAATAACCATAAAGGATTTAACAGTGACTAATCTTTTCTCTGCTAATTTTAATATCCTTAATCAAACATGCATACAATTTATGAAATTTCTGATTATAAAATTTACCTGTAATTACATAGGAAGCTCCCCTATTAAAATAAATGTTTTCTTTTTTGTACATATCTTGATTGAACCATTTATTCTTACAGTTTTGGAAAGAAATGGAATTGAAATTTAGTGCCTTGATAGTTCAGTCAGCTAGAGTGTTGGCCTAGGTATCCTCTGGTGAAGATCAGATGTGAGGTTTGATGCTCCCTACCTTGTGTTCCTCAGGAAGCTGACAATTACTTTGAATGGCAACGAGTCTCCAATATGCTGTTTTGTGAGGCAGCCATTAGTTACTAAAAGGGGAGCCAGCCTCAAAATGGCTCTGGCTCTTCACAGGGCAATAAAACCAACACACATCCAAAGCATATGTCAAAGAATCACTTGTAAAAGTGACAAACCCTACTGTTATAAATGTAAAGTCTTGAAATTGGAGCTCATTTTTCTTAATTCGCTGTTTAAACCATGCCATGTCATTAAGCAACTCGTGTTGTGTATATTTGCCAGGTAAATACTAGCTGCCTAATGCTTAAACTGCATGTTCACTTGTCAAGAATGACCTGTCAAAATGAAGTCACAAGACCAAAAATCCTAAGTGGTAAATATATTAACAGCTGTACAGCACACAAAATAGGTATTTCTTAGATTCATCAAAATCACTTCTGAAATCATATTTAACAATTATTTGCAGAAAAAAACAAAAACCAACATGAAATCATGCCACTTCTTATTACACTATTACAAAAATGCATTAAAATGGCGGTTTTCAAACCATTTACTGTACTTTATGTAATCTGGATCTTTCCTATAATATCAGGTGACGGAACTTCAGATCAAGTCCTGACAAATTAAATACCCAATGGGGACACAGTAACACTTATAAATAAATGGCCTCACTCAACCATCTATATATTTTATATATGACGTAGAGATATGACATTAAACATGTGAAGCATGTACGAACTGACAGGAGTGACAGGGCTTAGTATACATGTTTTATTAATTATAATTCTATGCTTTAGAAACAGGATATAATACAATTTACTGCTAGTTCTCCATTTGCCAAAACAGGATCTGTTGTTAATATTATTTCTCCGAGCACCTTTCATTGAACCATTTCTGATTTTAATTTCAATAAATAATACATATTGATCTTTTTTTTAAATAAGAAAATGTTTACCATGATGAATATGGTTATATCCTGGATTAACAAAATGGCTGTACATTGGTGACAGTTGTCCATGAGACTCCGGACTTGTTGGATAATTAATCGTTGATCTCTGCATATTTGAATATTCAAATCCACTTTTAGAATAATCCATTTTCAATGTTAGAAGTAATATATGTCTAGCACACTTAATCAGTAATTATCCTCCTTTCACTATATATATCCTGGAAAATTTAACTTGTACTAGAATTTGAATAATTAATGTACAACCTAATTAAATGTCCTCAATATAGAATACTTTTCACCATATTGCAATATTTTTCAAACAGAAATATCTTTGAAATCTCTTGTTCTCCTTCAGCATTCAGCACAGCCCCAGAACAAACATTCATGATCAACATCATGTTCATTTTCCAGCAACAGGAGTGTCATTCTACATTCGCAACACAATTTGACTACAGCAAGAATATCTTGTTGTGTCAGATTGGTTGTCACGACAATTGAATCCTACTCAACACCTACAGCTTGTGCTACAAAATACCTGCTGCGTTCATGCGTACGTAAGGTAAAATAAATTCTAGTGATATTAATGTACAGTACTTAGATCATACCACCTCATTAGCATAGGAAATGACAGCAAACACTGGTATCAATTTGTTACCTCTTAGATAATGACAGTGTAGGTTGTTTTCCCCTTAAAATTTAAATTTACAACTCTACTTTCATATTCAAGTCAGATTTCACTGTTAATGTCACCTGCTGTTTTACTCATCATCAACCTAGGCATTTGTTTTAACATAATATTGTGTACATTTGTATATATATATTTATAGACACCTGAGATTTATATTGGACTTCAGGCTAAATGTGACCTTGTTAGAGTTTGTAGCATATTACCAGCTCCCTCCTGCAGATGTATATGTCACGCAATATATAGAATCAAACTATAGTTATTCTGCATATTTAAGAAATAAAAATACCTGTAAAATTGCCTCTATTCCCTTGTTTATTTTTATTTTTCATATTTATCTTTCAGATATAAACATATATGGATTGATTGCAATATATCTAAGGCTTAATCTTTAAAATTAGGACCTATCTATAACAATTATTCAGACCTGGAATCATGTTTTGCTGGTCAATGATTGTAATACTGAATAGATAGAACAAGAGATCTTAGAGGGATACCTTCCCACCACATAATATCTCTTCTTTGTATAATTTGGAACTTTCTCCTTATTTCCTTTTCAGTTTACTGAAGTGTTATTTGATTTTAGTTATATGTTATACTGACAGGCAAATTCATCATATGGTTACACGGTAAACCAAAGGAAACTAAAAAATATCTCCATCCTGTCTTTATACTGGGTTTTAACTATCTGTGAATCTACAGA